TGTTATATGACGTGGTGGGTGTTTTGTCGTCGTTTGCATGCAGATCCCAATAATAGTCGCCATTCGCCACGTGTTGATGGGTTCCCCATAGGGCAAAGATAAAATCTTTCTCCCGCCCATACACGAGGCTCCAAGAGGCGGGTGACAGTGGTGAGCGTTCATTATGTAATATAACTGATGAATCCTAATATCAACGAAACCGGTCTCCAGTCGTGTGTCTTTGTCTCACTGCTACCCGGTCGGTTGGCAGCATTTTGTCTCAATGTATTGGTGGTTGCGAAGCCTCCGTCAAAATGATCATGGTGCAGTTTTGCTTAACTGGTGGTTGTGTCGCATAAATTATGTGCATGTAATGCACACCTGCAGTTGTGTGTTGTTAAACGGTGTGTGCGTGTATATATATATGTATATATATGTATAGTCCGGAGCGGTAGTGCAGCGACCCGAGGTCGATTCCCGCAGACGGTCAGCATCAGTGACGATTATCTGAACCAGTGCTGGGTTTCCTTAAGTCGACTCAGCCTTAAATTATGTGTAAACATCGCCACTCCGGAGACATAGGCGGTCGTGCCGGCCTTCATAGGTGCTACTCGCTAACAACATTTGCCCCAGCAGTCTGTGAAGGCTGAAGCGGGGGACCTTTGTCTTTGTGCGTGGGTGTCACTCACCCTGGCAGTCTAAGGGATCGCGTGACGACAGGAGGAGGGGATTGGGATCTTTGTCTGAGTACACGCGTGTGTGTGTACACGCGTGTGTGTGTACACGCGCGTGTGTGTACACGCGTGTGTGTGTACACGCGTGTGTGTGTACACGCGCGTGTGTGTACACGTGTGGAGGAAGGGCGCGCTGGGTCCGTGCGGCATATGTGCCCCCCTCCTCCTCCTCCCCAGCCACGCGGGCAAAAGAATCCGGGAAGTCGGATAATTCGATCAGGATTCAATCACCGAAACAGGGGCTAGATGAAGCGCATTTTACAGCCATGAATGGGCTCGCGTGGGGGTAGCTGAGGGTCGCTGTGAGGGGGGCTGGGTGTGTGTGAAAGCTTCCATCGGGGGCTGTGGGAGTGTCGACGAGGAGTGAGCGAGCGAGTGGGTGAGTGGGGGGCGGATGAGTGAGTGGAGGCACGTCACGTGCTCGCTGTCGGAGGGGGAGAGAAAAAAAAGTTTGATGTTTGTCAGGATCCGGCTGAGACCCTCTCTCCTCCTCCTCCTGCTGCTGCTGCTGCTGCCATCCCGAGCCCCCCACCCCCACCGCCCCCCGCGGTTCGGCACGCGTTGGGCGCGCTCCCCCGGGGGTTTAAGGAGAGATCTGAAGACCGTGTCCCCTCCTTCTCTCGCCCTCCCCGCCTCCCCCTCTTACTCCCCCCCCCCCACCCTCCTGCCGCCAAACTCCCCCCAGCCACATTCGCTGCCCCGTCGCCCCACACGCGTGCGCTGCGGAGATGCACACATCACTAATCCGATTGTGCTGCTGCCCCCACAGCTATAGCTGCGACAAAAGGAGCGGATAAATAAGGGGCTCATCCCGTCCTGCGGCTCCACACACATGCAAAGACGAAGATCCCCCATATAGCCTCCACAGACTGTTGGGGCAAGTGCTGTTAGCGAGTAGCACCTATGAAGGCCGGCATGGCACACCAGGGAGTGGGTGGCCAGAACCACGCCCGGTCGTCTTTGTTTCCCGAGTGGCGATGCTTACACATTGCACCAGCTACTCATTTGAGGCTGAGTCGATCTCAGGCAGGCCCGGGACCGGTTCAGATGATTGTCACTGGTGCTTGCTGTGGGCGAGACTCTAATTCAGGAGGCTGTGTTTGCCGCGCATCGTGCTAACCGCAGCGCCACCGCTCCCCACACACACAGGCAGGTGCATATGCCCGTGTAAATAGCATTGGTCGCGAAAGCCTCCGTGTTAAACTAACAATCATATTCTCACACATTTACAATATAGGCACACGTAGTCGCGTATAAACTTTTACAGACACATAAGGATATACACACACACACATGCAAAGATAAATTATCCTTCGTATAGCCTTAACAGACTGTTGGGGAAAGTGCTGTTAGCAAGCACCTATTTAGGATGACACGAGGTGGGGGGGGGATCTGTTGCCAGCAACACGCCCGACCGCCTTTGTCTCCATAGTGCCGATGTTTACACACCGCACCAGCCACTCTTTTAAGACGGACTCGACATACACACCATTGATCCGTCCCGAAATCTGTCCACCAACCCCTCCCCCCACCTTGAATCCCCCAACACCCCTCCCCTCCTCCCTTCCCCCGCTCAGCCGCCTCTGATCTCGCCGAGCTGAGAATGGACACCCAGCTGGGCTCAGCAGCATCAGCAGCAGCATCAGCAGCAGCATCAGCAGCATCAGCAGCAGCATCAGCAGCAGCTAAAGTAGCGTTGTCATCACCATTCGGAACACAAACAACAGAATCATAACCATTATCATTATCAACCATAGTTAGGAGTAGCATCATCATCGGAATCATCATTAGTATCATCATCGGTAGCAGCAACAGAATCATCATCGGTATCATTATTTAGTCTGTGACAAACATTCAGGCATTTAAACAATGAATGTGGTGCCGATGCTGCTGCTGCTGCTGCGCCGTCGGCAGTGGTGCACAAGCACGGTTAACTCAATATTCGTCAATATCACTGCGTGGCTTTAAAGAAAATAGATAGTAGTCGGCGTGTCGTGAATTTCATGAATGTCATTGACGAATGCGTTGAGTTGATGTTATGTTCGCTGTTAGGCAATGCGAGAGATCATCGTGAATATACGCATGGCCTTCAAGCGCCGCAAACAACAAATCTGAGAAAAGACCAATTCCAAAAAACTCGTCCTGTTGCAGAAGCGTGCAGGAACGACCCGGCGGCGCCTCCACTGTTGTGCTGAGAACTGTCGCCCTCTCGCTGATCCACTCGGAGTCACTGGGCTCCAGCCCGGCCCCGGATCTCTACACAACACTGCCAGATGCACCATCAGATAACGCGATGCGCATCACACTCGGAGCACTGAAACGAACACCAACCCCTTGGCCCCCCGTTCCGGCGAACATTCTGCCACCAAATCACCCCAGAGAGAGACATCGTGCGACCCGCGACAAGGGAGATCACACGTTCTTGCCAATGACAACCGCCTACAACCATCGTCAACCAAGACCTCAACAATGTCCCTCGCCGCCGACTACTCGAGTGGAGAGTTGTTCTTTCTGGGTCCGTGCTGCTGCTGCTGCCACCACCCTAGAATCTGACCCTGTGGGTTCGTGCTGCTGCTGCCACCACCCTAGAATCTCACCCTGTGGGTTCGTGCTGCTGCTGCCACCACCCTAGAATCTCACCCTGTGGGTTCGTGCTGCTGCTGCCACCACCCTAGAATCTCACCCTGTGGGTTCGTGCTGCTGCTGCCACCACCCTAGAATCTCACCCTGTGGGTTCGTGCTGCTGCTGCCACCACCCTAGAATCTCACCCTGTGGGTTCGTGCTGCTGCTGCCACCACCCTAGAATCTCACCCTGTGGGTTCGTGCTGCTGCTGCCACCACCCTAGAATCTCACCCTGTGGGTTCACGCTGCTGCTGCTGCCACCACCCTAGAATCTCACCCTGTGGGTTCGTGCTGCTGCTGCCACCACCCTAGAATCTCACCCTGTGGGTTCGTGCTGCTGCTGCCACCACCCTAGAATCTCACCCTGTGGGTTCGTGCTGCTGCTGCCACCACCCTAGAATCTCACCCTGTGGGTTCGTGCTGCTGCTGCCACCACCCTAGAATCTCACCCTGTGGGTTCGTGCTGCTGCTGCCACCACCCTAGAATCTCACCCTGTGGGTTCGTGCTGCTGCTGCCACCACCCTAGAATCTCACCCTGTGGGTTCACGCTGCTGCTGCTGCCACCACCCTAGAATCTCACCCTGTGGGTTCGTGCTGCTGCTGCCACCACCCTAGAATCTCACCCTGTGGGTTCATGCTGCTGCTGTCACCACCCTAGAATCTCACCCTGTGGGTTCACGCTGCTGCTGCTGCCACCCTAGAATCTCACCCTGTGGGTTCACGCTGCTGCTGCTGCCACCACCCTAGAATCTCACCCTGTGGGTTCATGCTGCTGCTGCCACCCTAGAATCTCACCCTGTGGGTTCATGCTGCTGTCACCACCCTAGAATCTCACCCTGTGGGTTCACGCTGCTGCTGCCACCCTAGAATCTCACCCTGTTGGTTCACGCTGCTGCTGCCACCCTAGAATCTCACCCTGTGGGTTCATGCTGCTGCTGCCACCCTAGAATCTCACCCTGTTGGTTCACGCTGCTGCTGCTGTCACCACCCTAGAATCTCACCCTGTGGGTTCATGCTGCTGCTGCCACCCTAGAATCTCACCCTGTGGGTTCACGCTGCTGCTGCTGTCACCACCCTAGAATCTCACCCTGTGGGTTCACGCTGCTGGCCAACAGAGTGGAAGAGCGCGGACTTCCAGAATAAACTCCTCGTTCCAGACGCAAGCACTGTCATCATCGCGCCTCCTCGCTTTGCCATTCCTCCTGCTACACACTGTTAACGGAACCGTCATCCGCATCAGAACCGCAGCAACTTCTTCATAAGTTGAAAATGAAAGACAGGAGCCACGGCAGTGCGATTGTGGCCATGCAACACAAACTACGGACAATACCGCAACCCATCGATATACATGCACATAGACTCATGGTGATACACAGAGACCCGTAGAGACTCAAAACATATCGTGATACCCATAGATACGCAGATATAGATTAAAGACGAGCCACAGCAGTGCGATTGTGGCCATGCAACACAAACTACGGACCATCCAGCAACCCGCTGTGGCCCCGGGGCTCGTAGACCTCGACATTGACATTCAGCTCCTGCACGCATTGCGATCAATCGCCGTCATGGTCCGCGAGAACGGAGTAGAATAACAACGCAGTGTAATCATTGAGAGTCGCTACTCAGTAGCACGACCCGGTCGCCAGGGGGCGCTCCGGGCCGGGCTGCCCGGGCTGCCCGGGCAGGCGGCCCCCATCTCCGCGTCCCTTCCAGGCGAGGCCGAGGAAGGAGGCGCCTCCCGGTGCACGTGGAGACGGGGCCGCGGTGGGCATGGCGCGCAGCGCGGGCCAGTGCCGCCACTACCAGCGCGGCTGCGAGCTGCAGGTAGCGGCCCGGTGGCCTCCCAACCCCCGGCGGGGCCCCGGTGCCCCCGGGGAGACCACTGGGACCCCCCCCCACCCCCGTTCCCGCTAATCTCCGACGTCGCTCTGCGTGCGGCCTTCGGACCAACATTTTTAGGCTTGGAGGAATTACAATTGAACCATTTGGCAATGGTTGTTCGGCGAATTCGCGCGGTGTTAAAAGTCGTACACGGAGTCGATTGCGATCGGACGTTAAAGCGCAGAGGAGTCGCGGCCGCGTGGCCTGCGTGGTGAAGTATGGTGAAGCCTACCCTCCCACAGGGACCAGCGTGGTGAAGTATGGTGAATCCTACACACCCACATGGACCAGCGTGGTGAAGTATGGTGAATCCTACACACCACATGGACCAGCGTGGTGAAGTATGGTGAAGCCTACCCACCACATGGACCAGCGTGGTGAAGTATGGTGAATCCTACACACCACATGGACCAGCGTGGTGAAGTATGGTGAATCCTACCCACCCACATGGACCAGCGTGGTGAAGTATGGTGAATCCTACACACCCACATGGACCAGCGTGGTGAAGTATGGTGAATCCTACCCACCACATGGACCAGCGTGGTGAAGTATGGTGAATCCTACACACCCACATGGACCAGCGTGGTGAAGTATGGTGAATCCTACCCACCACATGGACCAGCGTGGCGAAGTATGGTGAATCCTACACACCCACATGGACCAGCGTGGTGAAGTATGGTGAATCCTACACACCCACATGGACCAGCGTGGTGAAGTATGGTGAATCCTACACACCCACATGGACCAGCGTGGTGAAGTATGGTGAATCCTACCCACCACATGGACCAGCGTGGTGAAGTATGGTGAATCCTACACACCCACATGGACCAGCGTGGTGAAGTATGGTGAATCCTACACACCCACATGGACCAGCGTGGTGAAGTATGGTGAATCCTACACACCCACATGGACCAGCGTGGTGAAGTATGGTGAATCCTACCCACCCACATGGACCAGCGTGGTGAAGTATGGTGAATCCTACCCACCACATGGACCAGCGTGGTGAAGTATGGTGAATCCTACACACCCACATGGACCAGCGTGGCGAAGTATGGTGAATCCTACACACCCACATGGACCAGCGTGGTGAAGTATGGTGAATCCTACCCACCCACATGGACCAGCGTGGTGAAGTATGGTGAATCCTACCCACCCACATGGACCAGCGTGGTGAAGTATGGTTAACCCTACACACCCACATGGACCAGCGTGGTGAAGTATGGTGAAACCTACCCACCCACCCCACATGGGACCCCTCACGCTGTGAGGGGGTAGGGAGGCCCTCATTCACCCAGTGCGTGCACGTGTCGTGTTCGTGTGAAGATCGGAGCACCTAGCCTGGCACGAGTGACGTCATCACTTCTTGGCTGTCGTGTGAGAGCGTCAGTATATTGGCTAAATATTCCTCCTCGAAGCGTTTTCCTTTAGTTTGTAATTTACGACAACGTAGGTTGAGGTTAAAATCTTCAATGTGTTTATTTGTGTATGCTACCAGTCACTGGCTGTTAATCAAAGTGAATATAAAATGTTTATGGCTTTGATTAGAGGGGCACGTGGCCTTGTGGCTCCAAGTGCAGTTGGCAGGACGAGGAGGCGGGTGCGAGTGGCGTGATTCGTGTGGATGAGCAGGGCAACTTTATAGCTAGACGCATGTGTGGTGTGTGTTGAACTTCGTTCGCACCGTACGTAGCCAATCGTGCTAATCGCGCGGCGGGCGAGGTGTGCTCTTCAGTGACACCCGCATAGAGAGTATACACGACTGCAAATGTGTACGAGCTACAATGTTAATTTGTCAGGTGCAAACAGCAATAGTGGAACTCTGCGATACTCCAGGAACACTTCATGAGAGACGTGTGTTCGCTGCACATTACGACATTATTACTGTGATGCTTGACATGACACGGTAAGGAAACGTATTTCCACAGTCATCACGTAACCTTCATTTGACACTAATCGGAAAAGTGCGGGCTTGTGGCTTTCAGATATATCGGCAGATAAAACGCCTGCATCCCGCATCTGCCCCTCCATGTAACAAAAACAACTTTATATTTCATATTGACACGTCACATCAGCCACACGTTCTTCTGGGATGGCATCTTTTCAGCAGCTTAGGTTACAGACACGCACCCTGTGGGCCAGTGTAGACACTCAGAGGCCTCGCCAGCAGTCCGCGCCTTGTTTAAATCCCAATGCCCGTGAACTGTAGGTTACTTTGCGTACAGTGCATCTTGTGCTAAAACGAAGTATTTGTCTTTCTAACAGAGAGTGCCCTTGCCTTTAAACATCAGGCAGTTCATCTCCGAGGTTGAAGTTCCAGGTGGGAGTAGTCCCCCTGTTGGTGTGTGTGAGCGGTGGCGCAGTGGCGAGCACGCTGCGCTGCAAACCAGGCAACTCAAGTTTGATTCCTGCTCACAGCACACACCAGTGACAATTATATGAACCAGTGCTGGGCCTCCCCTAGGTCGACTCGGCCTTAAACGAGTACCTGGTGCAGTGTGTAAATAGTGCCACTTGGGAGACAAAGGCGACCGGGTGTGTTGTTGGCCTCCTACCCCCTCATGTGCCGTGCCGGGCTTGATAGGCGGCTTCCAACAGCACTTGCCCTGAGAGTCTGCTCAGGCTATAGGGGGTATCTTTGTGTTTGTGTTCGCAGGCCCCAAGAGTCTGCTCAGGCTATAGGGGTATCTTTGTGTGTGTGTACGCAGGCCCCAAGAGTCTGCTAAGGCTATAGGGGGTATCTTTGTGTGTGTGTACGTAGGCCCCAAGAGTCTGCTAGGGCTATAGGGGGTATCTTTGTGTGTGTGTACGTAGGCCCCAAGAGTCTGCTAAGGCTATAGGGGGTATCTTTGTGTTTGTGTACGCAGGCCCCAAGAGTCTGCTAGGGCTATAGGGGGTATCTTTGTGTGTGTGTACGCAGGCCCCATGCTGCAATGTCTTCTACCCGTGCCGCCTGTGTCACGATGACAAGGAGGACCACGCCATGGACCGCTTCCAGGTGACCACTGTGCGCTGCTCGAGCTGCAGCTCCGTCCAGCAGGTGTGTACACACCTTCAGAGCGTGGACACACACACACACACCTGTGCACACACAGGTACTCACCTGGGCCATGTTCATGCCTCGGTCTCTATGCTCACTCACACACAGCTGAGCAAATACACACCTGGGTTCAGGCATACTTTGGCCCATGTGTTCACCAAACATAGAGATCCCCCGTGTAGCCTTTAATGGACTACTCTTGGGGTAAGTGCTGTTAGCGAGCACCTATGAAGGTTAGGGTAGGTGGCCAAAACCATGCCCGGCCACCTCTTGTTTCTCCAAAACCATGGCAGGTACTCACTTAAGGGCGAGTCGACCTCGGGTAGGCCTAGAACCGCTTGAAATACTCGCCGCTGTTATTGGTCATGAGCGGGAATCGAACTTGAGTCGCCGGGTTCGTAAGTGCACTAACCACGCCACAACCACTCCCCGTACCCAAACAACAACATTTGCCACTAAGTGGCTGTGACAACACCACGGCACTAGTGCCAGGCTAGGTGCACACTGAGGCCACGTGAAATCTCAAAGGTTCTATGGCAGGAGGTAACAGGACAGACCTAGGTGTTTTGGGTTGACCGACTGAGATGACTGACAGTTACACCACCTGTGTTCCCTCATGTGCGAATGTGCTGTGTTTTAGCATAAAAATACACTGACGTCACATACAGTCGGGCAGGTGTGCACCTGGGCCCTCCAGCACACCTGCGACATGTGACACATTCCACGGTTGTGGAGGGATGCCGGTAGTTCTAGATGGGTCCTGGTGTACACGTGGTGTACACGTGGTGTGTAGTTCTATGCGGGTCCTGGTGTACACGTGGTGTACACGTGGTGTGTAGTTCTATGCGGGTCCTGGTGTACACGTGGTGTACACGTGGTGTGTAGTTCTATGTGGGTCCCGATGTCCACGTGGCGCGTACCTGACGGTGTGCAGGTGGGCAGGACGTGCACGCAGTGCGGCGTCGTGTTTGGCGAGTACTACTGCGACATCTGCCACCTGTACGACCGCGACAAGCAGCAGTACCACTGCTCCTCTTGCGGAATCTGCAGGTGAGATGCTCGCACCTCCGCCCTTGTCCCCCAGTTTCAAACTTGCCGGACGCCTCCGGTTTCTTCTCGCATTTGCCAAGGTGATTTAAAAGTGCTTGCACCCAAATGATGAAGTTTAAAAACCAAAAATGTAACAAGTATTGAAATATATCCGCATATCCAGCATGAAGCAAGTTTAAAGATGTGGGTCTTTACCACCGGCTTGCAGGCTTATATAATTTCAAAATAATAACTAAGAAGATCAGGGTCACCACCAAAAACATGAAACAATGTGAATATCCGAGGTGGTTGGGTGGCGCAGAAGTCAGAGGGGTGAGCTCGCGTCGCTGAGATCCTGGGTTCAAATGCAGGCAGCCGCTTGTGATTAAACCGGGTCCTCAGCCTGGACTCGAGTGACTTAACAATTGCTTTCTGCATTCAAGTTGGCAAAATTCCAGCTCTTACGAATGAGCTATAGCGGTTTTCTAGTCACGTGACGAGCATGAGTCCAAGTGGCGGCAGGGCGCGTGGGGAAGTGCTGCCGCCTACTGTGTGTTCCAGAATGAAACATTGTTCGGTGATTTGGCTGCTGCAATGAGTGGTGCACAAGCACCGTCCACGTGTCAGGCAAAGTATACCAGAGGATACGTGAAGGGACGTCAGAAGTAGCTCTGTGATATCCACTTCACTGTGCCATTCTCTAACACTGAGGGTTGTACTGCTCTGCGAGAGAATCCAAAGGGACACTTCATCTCATGATGTGACACTGAGAAACCCGTTCTTTTTTCTTTGCACGTGTCATGGGCAGGGTATGGCCTGTTAAAAGAAATCCTGCTGGGTTGGACAATAACGTTGGACGTAGAAACGGAACATTATCCCACTCATGTCAGACATCCCAGGATACACGTACACTTGGTGTGTATGCACCGGAGAAAGAGATATTTGTCTCTTGAGTTGAAGCTTCCTTAAGGCACTGCCAAGTTACACTGGTGTTATCAATTCAGGTTGGTGAAGGTGGGGAGCATAGACGTTGGTGCATAGTGCATTACAACAATATATGTTCTGCAATGCCCTCTACAAGTGTACATTGTCCTACTGTGCTCCCATCCGATCTCGGGTTCTGGGAGTTTTGCCGCAGTTTCTCGGCTTCTGGCATTGGGTGCTAGAATCCTCTCCGGACCTGGACGTGCGCCCCTCCCAGCGTTACCGTGCGTGTCTCTCTTGCAGGATCGGCCCAAGGGAGAACTTCTTCCACTGCTCTAAATGCAACCTGTGTCTGCCCACCTCCCTCCACGACAAGCACAAGGTAGAGCCGGGGCTATCCCATCGTTTAATTCACCGACGATTGTGACCCGCCACTTTCTCTCGTGTTGGATTACTCGGGCCACGATAACAATGACTGTTGCCCCCACGCACCGACTCCCGAAGGCGGGAACACCCCTCCGAGCTGTGGGCCGCTGTGGGCGGATTGTCTGGAGGGCTTCGTGCGCGTGTGTTTTTCGGCGGCGGTATCATTTCGGTTCGCGTGCCAGGAAACTGTTCAGTTCCTGAATAAGCTGAGCACATGGAGCGAAACGTCGGACATAGTGGCATACGCCGCGCGGTGCAACGTGAAATCGCATCGGAGAGCTAGCGCAGCACAACCGCGAAAGTCGACGGAGTGACAAATCCAGCGAGTTCCACGTCGCAGAATGTCCGCACGCTCGTGTCTGCCCTGTCACTGCTGCATGTCTTACCTTCCCATCCTTCTTTGTCTCCCCCGTTTCTCCCCAGTGCGTGGAGAACGTGTCTCGGCAAAACTGCCCCGTGTGCATGGAGGTGAGAGGTTGGGCGGTGGTGGCTGGTTATTCACACTGTGTGTGCGCGTGTGCATGCGATTCGATGCACGCATCACGAGCGTAAGAATACATTTTTTGCAATCAAGCACCTTCCCTATGCAACTCACAAATGATCAACATTCAACAAATAATTTGGTGATGCTGCTTCTGCTGGGTTGGCAGTGGTGCGCAAGCACAGTTAACAAACGAACTGGGCACATTTGTCCAAAATCCCGTGGCCTTAATATAAAACAGACATATATACAACAGATGACATTTTGGGCAACGGCTCTTCTTCGCGAGCACTATAAGTATCCGTGTTTAAGCAACATGAGCACATGCAGGGGTGCACACGATGATGGCGATTCGTGTTCATGAAATATAATGTACAGCCCTTCCATCCACTGCTGGATGATGGTCCCTCCACTCGCATGGAGGTTGTTTGACTACTTCATGCTGTCAGGAGGATGTTTGACTACTCCATGCTGGACTGTTCAGGTTGTTAAAGCAGGTTGCGCAGAACTTGGTGCAGATATCACTTCTGGTAGCCGTAGTCGGGAGTTCAACTCGGATCTCCAGTGCTGTTTGGTCTCGCGTGTTTTGTCGGATTCCAGGATATGCACACGTCCCGAGACGCTGCCATGCCTCTGCCTTGTGGGCACCTCCTGCACAGGCAAGCACTGGTGTCACTGTGACCCACGCCGCACAACCACGCCGCACAACCACAACCACACCACGATCATATCCGTGGCACAACCACAAACACCACAACCACCGCACAACCACATCATGACTACACCCATGGCACAACCACATCATGACTACACCCATGGCACAACCACAACCATGGCACAACCAAAACGATGGCACATCTAAATTATACCACAATTCACAGAACTCTCTTCCCCCAGCCATCCGTGCTGTGTAATATAAAAACGCCCACTGTATATATAAAGCATTCTGGGATGCTGTCGCATTTATTTTATATGCTATGTAAATCGGCTTTGTATCGCGTTCACTCAAACAGAGCCCCGTAAACTATAAAACAAACACACCCACTGTTTCCATGCAGCGTGTTGACATGCGGTCACATTTAGACGATACATATAAATCCAGCTTGCGTTTGTGTCTATAAAATACACAACACGAATTAATCAGCCCACGACCACCTCCAACGCCACCTGCTGCACCACGTGTACGATACACGCGCCACTCCTCCCTCGGCCGTATCAGCTTTGAGTGAATCTCACCGGATGACTAACCACCTGGCCGCTTTCTGTCTGTCTGTCTGTGTCCCAGTGCTTGCTTCAAGCAGACGCTGAGATACAGGTGAGTGCAGGACGTGCAACTGCCACCACGCCCGCATCCACGAAGCGGGGTTGGGGGGGGGGCATTATCACCTCCGCCATCCTTACCACCTTCCCCCCTCCCCTAGCAAACAACCACAGCCATCACCTGCACGCTGTGTCCACAGCAGGCAGCCATAACTGGGGCTGTAGTTCACACAGTGTGCAGCTGTGAGTGGGCAGAAGCGGGGGTGCTGCTGCTGCCGCTGCTGTTGTTGTTCGCGGGTGTCCGTCACTAGCGCTCGGTTGTCTTGTGGCTCGTGTGTCAATCGCCGATGTTCACTCGTCGCGTTTAAACGTTGTTTGAGGTGGACGCTGCTGGTGATGGCTCGATTGCCGCTTTCTGTCCGACCAGTGGGGAAATCATCGTGCCGGTTGTTCACCATGGAAAGTCCCAAGACTTGTTTTAAGGAGGGTCCTGACACAATGGGATATTTGGCCAATTGCAAAAATGGGTGTTTCGCTTCGTGCGGGAGGCAAGTGGAGTGCCGAGGGAAAACTCTCCACGCTTGTGAAGGCAGTGACGGTCGGCAGTGACATCTCCTCGCCACATCCTGACAGCCCCGTGCCCTGGCGAGCTCTGGATGCCACCCATCTCAGTGCACCCACTGTAGATACAAGTTGATTGTGAATGGTGGTTGGCATAGATAGTGGCGCTTCTACTGCTGCTGCGGGTGATGATGCCGGTGGTAATGGTGCAGTGGTGGGGACGATGCGGATGGTGGTCCTGGTGATGACTCCTGGATGTGACTGCTGCTGGTGATCGTGGGGATGACGAGTGACTGTGATCGTGGTGGTGATGCTGCTGACACAGTAATGGTGCTGTGTGGAGTGGTGAGCACGCTTCTCTACGAACCTGGATACCCGAGTTCAAAGCCAGCACCAGTGATGATTGTCTGAACTGATACTGGCCCTCTCCTCGGTTGACTGCCTCAAATGAGTACCTGGTGCATTGTGTAAATGTCGGCACTAGGGAGACAAAGGCGGCCGGGCGTGATGCTGTCCACCCTCCCCCTCGTGTACTGTGCCAGCTTTCATAGGTACTTACTAACAGCACTTGCCCCAACAATCTGTTAAGGCTATAGGGGGATCTTTGTCTTTACGTGAGCAGTGCGTACCGCTGCCCGCTCTGCGCCCGATCCATGGTGCCCATGAGCTCCGTGTGGAGCGACATGGACGAGGAGGTGGCGCAGACGCCCATGCCGGAGGAATACCAGAATCTCCTCCTGACGGTGAGCCGCTCGCCACCCGCTCGCCACCCGCTCGCCACCCGCTCGCCACCCTGTGGTCACATGGATCGCCACTCACTGCACACAATCGTCACGTGCGTGATGATTGTTTACTGCAGTCACTGGCGACTGCAAACACCATCGGCTCGCCACACTTGAGTAACCGGTTCAATCACCGAAGGCTGAAACCCAGGTTTCGAGCCAGGATCTTGGCAGTGCTGTCTCATTGCTCGTGCATGGCCCTTGAGCTGCCCAGCCGCTCTCGTCGGCAACAATCTATCCACTGCTGGATGAAGCCAGGCAATCGTGGCCTTGTAATGCAACAACCCGTCAGACGCCTGCGAGTCGATACGCCCGCTCAGTTTCCCTCAGTTTCCATGGCTGCTGATGTCCCTTTGTTACCCCCCCCCCCCCCCATTGTATCCGTTCCCAGATCCTGTGCAATGACTGCTTGGAGCGCACCCGGGTGCTGTTCCACGTGCTGGGCCTGAAGTGCGACAAGTGCGGCTCCTACAACACCTGCCGCACCGAGGAGAAGGCAGTAGAGGCGATGGTGGACAACCCCGAGTCTGCCTCCTGACACATCTCCGTCTGGAGATCAGGACCTCCTGACCTTCGACCTTAAAACGGATGCCGACCACAGACAGGAGTGGGGCCTCATTTTTTTACATTTAAGATTCAAAGAAACTTGTTGTAGCTTACTCTTTGGTTCTTTCGGTAAAGTCACGTAGTTTGAAATAAAATAAATCACGACGTTTCGATTGCCACACAAGCGGTTGTTATCAGGCAAAGGAGTCGGCCTCTGCCGTGTTTCAGATCTGCCTCGTGTTCGCGAACACGGTCCGAGACATGTCGCATCCCCAGCGTTTGGCATTGTTGCTGCATTGGCACTCGTGCACCGCCCGTGCTTCATGTGTTGGTGCACTTGGGCTACGCCCGTCCCCAAACCCCTATAAACAATTTGCCTTTAGAGGCCGACTCCTTTGCCTGATGACCGCTTGTGTTGCGATCGAAATGTCGTGATTTTTATTTCTAACTACGTGACTTTACCGAAAGACCCAAAAAGTATGGATTTCTGCAGTCACGACAGCTTCAAATCAAGATTGTTGTAGCTTTGTGGTTTTTTATTTGCGGTAACACATAAATAAAACAAATTCCAAGAAAAGTGTTAAACTCTGCTCTGTGAAGTTTGAGTCCAGTACCCTCCTTCACATACCACCTCATCCAACCTCCATCTCCCCCCACCCCCTGCCAGCAGAGCCGTGAGGGGCCCCCCACACACCTTCAAACTAAACCAGCAGCACTGCACCTAACGGTGACGTCAGAGCCCAGGGCCCTGGGGTGGTCGCCCCAATTCGCCTCTGCCGCTGCTCTGCAGCCTCGCACAGCGCCATAGCGGAGATCGCCACGGGCGGGCGGCATTGCTACGCCTCCCGCTGGAGGAGCGGTGACTGGGCGACGATAGGTGGATGGGCTGGTGCTGTGTTTATCAGCAGAGGCCACTGCAGGAAAAATCCATTCGTGGATTGTCCTATGCTCCGTCGCCACCAGACCACATTGGGTGGGTGGCTAAAAGTGATGGGGGCTTTCTCCAGAAACTCCAGTTTCCTCCCACGCCAATCAAATGGGCAGGGAACTGGCCAAACGTCCTAATGTAGCAGGATCCTTTGCTGCATAAATATAAACAGTATTTATATTCCCGACGTCCTTTATCTGTCAAGTCTCACAGCAGTCACCAATCCAACTTCTCGGTTGTTGACGCGACAGTGGTTCCACGCTTGCTGTGTATTCACATCGGGTTTCCACGAGTCCAGTCCACCTCGTTGCAGTCTTCTCGGTTCAAATAGGAATTCGTGTCACAGGCTGCACGCACCCGATCTTTGTTGACAGTGTCCCGCGCAACCCAGAAAATGTGCGTTCAGCGGGAGCGGTGGTGCAGTGGTTAGCACGCTGTGTTACGAAACCCAGCGACCCGGGTTGGATTCCTGGCCACGGATAGCATCAGTGGCTAGTGACATCTGAATCGGTCTTGGGACTCGGCCTAAGTTGACTCGGCTCGACTTTAATACCGGTTACAGTAGGTGGGGGGGGGGGGAGGCCAGGCAGCCAGCCATGGTGCCATCCCCCTGGCACACCATGCTGACATCATCAGCTGTTCACTAACAGCACTTGCCTCAGCTGGTTGTTAAATGGTACAAGGGGGACATTTGCTTTTGTACAAACACGCGCACACACACACACAGTTCCTCGTCATGGGGAGTGCCCAGTGTAGTCGAAAGGAGAAGATTGGTGGAACTGTGGACAATGGTGAGAAACCAGCAGGCTCAGCCCGAACCGACCAGCAGGCTCAGCCCGAACCGACCAGCAGGCTCAGCCCGAACCGACCAGCAGGCTCGCCCGAACCGACCAGCAGGCTCAGCCCGAACCGACCAGCAGGCTCGCCCGAACCGACCAGCAGGCTCAGCCCGAACCGACCAGCAGGCTCAGCCCGAACCGACCAGCAGGCTCAGCCCGAACCGACCAGCAGGCTCAGCCCGAACCGACCAGCAGGCTCAGCCCGAACCGACCAGCAGGCTCAGCCCGAACCGACCAGCAGGCTCAGCCCGAACCGACCAGCAGGCTCAGCCCGAACCGACCAGCAGGCTCAGCCCGAACCGACCAGCAGGCTCAGCCCGAACCGACCAGCAGGCTCAGCCCGAACCGACCAGCAGGCTCAGCCCGAACCGACCAGCAGGCTCGGCCCGAACCGACCAGCAGGCTCAGCCCGAACCGACCAGCAGGCTCAGCCCGAACCGACCAGCAGGCTCAGCCCGAACCGACCAGCAGGCTCAGCCCGAACCGACCAGCAGGCTCAGCCCGAACCGACCAGCAGGCTCAGCCCGAACCGACCAGCAGGCTCAGCCGAACCGACCAGCAGGCTCAGCCCGAACCGACCAGCAGGCTCAGCCCGAACCGACCAGCAGGCTCAGCCCGAACCGACCAGCAGGCTCAGCCCGAACCGACCAGCAGGCTCAGCCCGAACCGACCAGCAGGCTCAGCCCGAACCGACCAGCAGGCTCAGCCCGAACCGACCAGAAGGCTCAGCCCGAACCGACCAGAGGCTCAGCCCGAACGACCAGCAGGCTCAGCCCGAACCGACCAGCAGGCTCAGCCCGAACCGACCAGCAGGCTCAGCCCGAACCGACCAGCAGGCTCAGCCCGAACCGACCAGCAGGCTCAGCCCGAACCGACCAGCAGGCTCAGCCCGAACCGACCAGCAGGCTCAGCCCGAACCGACCAGCAGGCTCAGCCCGAACCGACCAGCAGGCTCAGCCCGAACCGGACCAGCAGGCTCAGCCCGAAACCGACCAGCAGGCTCAGCCCGAACCGACCAGCAGGCTCAGCCCGAACCGACCAGCAGGCTCAGCCCGAACCGACCAGCAGGCTCAGCCCGAACCGACCAGCAGGCTCAGCCCGAACCGACCAGCAGGCTCAGCCCGAACCGACCAGCAGGCTCAGCCCGAACCGACAGCAGGCTCAGCCCGAACCGACCAGCAGGCTCGGCCCGAACCGACCAGCAGGCTCGGCCCGAACCGACCAGCAGGCTCGGCCCGAACCGACCAGCAGGCTCGGCCCGAACCGACCAGCAGGCTCGGCCCGAACCGACCAGCAGGCTCGGCCCGAACCGACAGCAGGCTCAGCCCGAACCGACCAGCAGGCTCAGCCCGAACCGACCAGCAGGCTCAGCCCGAACCGACCAGCAGGCTCAGCCCGAACCGACCAGCAGGCTCAGCCCGAACGACCAGCAGGCTCAGCCCGAACCGAACCAGCAGGCTCAGGCCCGAACCGACCAGCAGGCTCGGCCCGAACGACCAGCAGGCTCGGCCCGAACCGACCAGCAGGCTCGCCCGACCCGAACCGACCAGCAGGCTCAGCCCGAACCGACCAGCAGGCTCAGCCCGAACCGACCAGCAGGCTCAGCCCGAACCGACCAGCAGGCTCAGCCCGAACCGACCAGCAGGCTCGGCCCGAACCGACCAGCAGGCTCAGCCCGAACCGACCAGCAGGCTCGGCCCGAACCGACCAGCAGGCTCGGCCCGAACCGACCAGCAGGCTCGGCCCGAACCGACCAGCAGGCTCGGCCCGAACCGACCAGCAGGCTCGGCCCGAACCGACCAGCAGGCTCAGCCCGAACCGACCAGCAGGCTCAGCCCGAACCGACCAGCAGGCTCAGCACGAACCGACCAGCAGGCTCAGCCCGAACCGACCAGCAGGCTCAGCCCGAACCGACCAGCAGGCTCAGCCCGAACCGACCAGCAGGCTCAGCCCGAACCGACCAGCAGGCTCAGCCCGAACCGACCAGCAGGCTCAGCCCGAACCGACCAGCAGGCTCGGCCCGAACCGACCAGCAGGCTCGGCCCGAACCGACCAGCAGGCTCGGCCCGAACCGACCAGCAGGCTCGGCCCGAACCGACCAGCAGGCTCGGCCCGAACCGACCAGCAGGCTCGGCCCGAACCGACCAGCAGGCTCGCCCGAACCGACCAGCAGGCTCAGCCCGAACCGACCAGCAGGCTCAGCCCGAACCGACCAGCAGGCTCAGCCCGAACCGACCAGCAGGCTCAGCCCGAACCGACAGCAGGCTCAGCCCGAACCGACCAGCAGGCTCAGGCCCGAACCGACCAGCAGGCTCGGCCCGAACCGACCAGCAGGCTCGGCCCGAAACCGACCAGCAGGCTCGGCCCGAACCGACCAGCAGGCTCGGCCCGAACCGACCAGCAGGCTCGGCCCGAACCGGCCAGCAGGCTCAGCCCGAACCGACCAGCAGGCTCAGCCCGAACCGACCAGCAGGCTCAGCCCGAACCGACCAGCAGGCTCAGCCCGAACCGACCAGCAGGCTCAGCCCGAACCGACCAGCAGGCTCAGCCCGAACCGACCAGCAGGCTCAGCCCGAACCGACCAGCAGGCTCAGCCCGAACCGACCAGCAGGCTCAGCCCGAACCGACCAGCAGGCTCGGCCCGAACCGACCAGCAGGCTCAGCCCGAACCGACCAGCAGGCTCGGCCCGAACCGACCAGCAGGCTCGGCCCGAACCGACCAGCAGGCTCGGCCCGAACCGACCAGCAGGCTCGGCCCGAACCGACCAGCAGGCTCAGCCCGAACCGACCAGCAGGCTCAGCCCGAACCGACCAGCAGGCTCAGCCCGAACCGACCAGCAGGCTCAGCCCGAACCGACCAGCAGGCTCAGCCCGAACCGACCAGCAGGCTCAGCCCGAACCGACCAGCAGGCTCAGCCCGAACCGACCAGCAGGCTCAGCCCGAACCGACCAGCAGGCCAGGCCCCAACCACCTGGCCAGGTCAGGTCCCAACCCGTCACTAGGATCAGGTCCCAACCCGTCAGTGGGTTCAGGCCCCAAGCCCCTGGCCAGCTCAGGTCCCAAGCCTGCTGTGGCCGTGGAGGAGGCTCTCGAAGTTGGGTGTGCAGATGAGACGGTGGCACACGTGGCCCAGCACCGTCGCGTCGCCTGTGCGCCCCTCCTGCAGGCGCACCGACACCAGCTCCTGCGAGGGGGTGGAGGAGGTCATTAGGGTCGGAGGTTGGAAAGGTTTGACCGAGTCAAAGTTCCACCCGGCTCTGTATGGGAAGCGCTAAGGCGAATCTATGAAACCTATGGCGAGTGACTTCATTTCATATGGGTGTATGTGAGCCTATGGGACTATGTGAACATAGGGGACTATGCGAGTCGGGGTGTGTGTGAATATATGGGTTTCTTTGTGAGTATGGGTCTCTGTCTAAGCCTTCGGCTCTCCATGTGAGCCAGTGGGGGTGTTTGTGTGAGAAAGCACGGACAATGACGCCTCTGCGGTGCGTTCCAGTCGCTCGTTGTATCCACCAGTTGCACGCGTCGTCAAGAGACCAAAAATCCCGGCATGGATTTTGTAGCCTCCACAAATTGGCACTGCGTAAGGAGCCGCCCTCCCTCCCAGTGCCTGCCTGACACCCTCCCGGTGCCCTCCCGGTGCCCTCCCGGTGCCTGCGTGACACCCTCCCGGTGCCCTCCCGGTGCCTGCCTGACACCCTCCCGGTGCCCTCCCGGTGCCCTCCCGGTGCCTGCGTGACACCCTCCCGGTGCCCTCCCGGTGCCCTCCCGGTGCCTGCGTGACACCCTCCCGGTGCCCTCCCGGTGCCCTCCCGGTGCCTGCCTGACACCCTCCCGGTGCCCTCCCGGTGCCTGCGTGACACCCTCCCGGTGCCCTCCCGGTGCCTGCGTGTACCTGCAAGAAGGAGCAGTTGGTTCCCATGCCGACATCAAGCTTGACGGTGCCCAGCACCAGTTGCACCTTCCCAGAGGCGCGCACAATCAGCCGCCCCACCTGGCCCTCGGAGAGGTCCCGAAGTGTGCAGGCACCATCGCCCTCTCCGCCGGCCTCCTGAGGACGCACGCATACACACACACACATGCACGCACGCACGCACCACGTTGCCGCGAGATGTGGGACCCAGCATCCAGGTGAGGTGCGCGTGCGTCCGCGTGATTCACCCTCCGCACTGCGTACTAAATACTTCCGAAGACAATCGCACGTTGCATGACGTCGTATAATATAATCCATGCGCACGCACAGTTTGTCTTGTTTTTAAGTACATAAAACGGCCACTGGTGTCAAGTTGATTTTGTTTAACCAGGCGAGAACTCGAGGGACGATGACGAGTCTCGTTCGCAACAGAGATCTGGGTTGTCAGCAAAATGACAAAAGCAAAACAAGCGAAATGAAGTACAGCAACGAAGCAAAGAGAAATCAGCACAAAAAACAACTGCACAAACACGTATCAATGGCAAGTAATAAACTCCGTGCAGCATAAAGTCAGGCTCGGGCAGATTACCCCTAGAGACTAATCACGGTGCATTTACAGATATTCGTTACAGAAACATCAAAAGATATAAGGTAACCATTGTATCAACATGTAAACCAGTAGTTTTTATACATTTTTAGAGAGGGGGGCCCCTTTTGCTGATAAGACTTCAGTGTGAGGGCCGCCACACATTTGAAACCATTGGGTTTGACAGCATGATAGGGTGTTTTAATATTTGTGTATTGTCGGGGGCCGCACGTCAGGGGCCACACGAAAGGCCACCAGGGACCGCCACCATCAGTCGCCCGCGGGCTTTGCAATGAAGAACACTGCCGTGAAAACAGACGAGGGTCCGCATCAAACGCAATTGCGAGGCGATGCTGATCCCTGCTTCGTGGGTTAGCGCCCTCACCTCGGCCTTCTCCTGCTTGAGCAGCATCGTCTGGCCGTCCTCCGTCTTAATTTCCCGCTTGATGGATCGCTCGTCGGCTCCGGCCGCGTCGCCCGCCCCGCGGGACGCCGGCTGTCCCGGCAGCGTGTCGGGCAGCTGCAGGAACAGCAGCCCAGAGTCGGCGGCGTCGCCACCGCCGGGGCCGCGACCCTCCTCCTCCTCCTCCTGCAGGCGAAGCTGGCGCAGCAGCTGGCTCACCGTTATCGGCGCGGACGAGGAGAGATGGGGCGGAGGAGCGAGCACCGGTCCTCCCTCCTCATCCTTCACCTCCGTGCCAGGCTCCTGTTTGACTGCGGGGGACGATGAACGGGCCCATGCTAAATAGACGTCAAATGACTCGCCACCACTATCGTCATTATCATCATCACCACCATCATCATCAGGAATTGTTCATGAGGATGAATTGGGAATAGAACAATGGGCAATTTAGAGGCCAATCGATAAACTGAGCAATCCGGTTTATTTTCCGGGTCACCGGTAGTTTGACTCAATAGCACGTGACCAGTGGCCACAGCCCATAACGAGAGGCATACTCGACGTGGTGTGTGCCCGGCACAGACATATTTTCTGGTTCGTCGATAGATTGTTAGCCACCACAGCCATTGCGAGTATACTGGATGTGGTGTGCCAGGTGTGGAAATCTTTACCGGGTCACAGACCGAGACAGATGTCTAAACTGTATCCCTGACTTCATTGTTGTAAATTGCTGACCTCGTGCCCCCTCCTGCACATCTGTGAAAAAGAGCTTCACAGCTCATCAGATTCCTCCAGTATATCAAAAATAAAATCTGATTCCAACTCTAATGGTTCTGATAAGAGCGTAAGGATACGGATTTGCACTTAATGGGGCGCCGTCAAACCTCGGCAACTCAAAGCACCTTGCGTCGTGACACTTCTCATCTCTGCCCTGCTCGAGTCTGACCAAGGGTGCCCCCACCCTGGTGGCAGCTGCCCCTGTGCAGTCCGAGCTAAACGCAGAACCGCCCTGACTGCCAGCAGGGAGGGTGGGGGGCGATGCCGCTGTGGATGGTTTTGCCCAATGGTTGATGAAGCGCCATGCCCGAGCTCCGTCGCCGTGGTTACCTTTGACGGCCTGCGGCGGGTCCACCTCCATCTTCTCCACCTTCGCCTTGCAGGAGGGTTCGTCGCGGAACGTGTCGCCGGAGTGGGACAGCGGCAGCTGGATGGGCAGGTTCCCGGGGTCGTTGACGAGCCCCGGGTCATCGACGAACTGCCTCGCACAGGTTGGAATCGTCGTTTAGGGGGGGCGGGGGGGGTGGTGGATGGGGTGGTGGCTGCTTGGCTGTTACTCACTCACGGCACTCCGGCTTGTTCAAGGCTCTCCGGGGGATTGCTATATTTGCGATGCGTGCATGTGTACACGTGTGTACGCGTGTGTACGCGTGTGTACGCGTGTGTACGCGTGTGTACACGTGTGTACGCGTGTGTACGCATGTGTACGCGTGTGCGAGTGTCTTGTGCTCACGTCGTCTCGCTCGAGCATGTTGAGCAACTTCTTGGTCTCCTCCTCCGTCTCGCACTTCTCCTTCTTGATGTTGATGATGGGGGTGAGGCCGGTCTGGGCGGGATTGGGCGTAGCCTCCCAGCCTGCTCGCCACACGCAGACAAAGACCCGCCCCCATATAGCCTTAATAAGACTGTTGGGGTTCGTGCTGTTAGCCGGCACCTATGAAGGCCAGAACGATACACAAGGGGGTGGGTGGCCAGCATCACGCCCAGCCGCCTTTGTCTTCCCAGTGGTAATGTTTACACACACACACTGTACTCATTTGAGGCCGAGTCAAACTCGGGGAGTCCCAGGACCAGTTCAGATAATCGTCACTGTTGTTGGCCGTGAGCAGAAATCGAATTCGGGTTGTAGGGTTCGTAGCGCAGCGCTACGAATCCCTGCACCACCACACACATACGCGCGCATACACACGCACTCACAGCACCGCCAACACCCACATGACACCTCGACCACAACATAACACGTGATGACAACACCGCTCACACAACACACGCCAAACGTGACACTGCCGCCAGTCCTCCCACACTGCCACCACCCACACAAAAACGCCACAATCCATGCACACCGTGGTTGATCGTGGCGAAAGGCACGAATTAGTCCGTACTCCGGCACTAAAGTTCCAAAAGCCGCGCAACGCGCTCACCGCCCGTCTTGCGCCGCAGTCCGTCGGCCGGACCCTGCTCGAAAATTGAGTGAGACTGGATGACCTCGCCGCGACCTCGACCCCGACCCCGACCGTCACGGGGGCCGCCTCGCTCGCGACCCCTCGGCTTGGCGCCACGTCCGGGCGACGGGCCGCCCTCCTCCCTGGGTCTGGGACATGGGGTCGGCACAGGGTCGGCACAGGGTCACCAACGGGAACGGCACGGGATCAGCGCATGGCACGGTCCCCGCGATACTTCTGGGATCACTGGCCAAGATGGTCATGACCTTGTAAGAGGTCGCCATCGAGAGCCCTGGTGGCTCAAAGGGCTGAGCGCTGAGACGGCACCCTCTGCGATCCTTGCTTTGAATCCAGGCAGCAGCCGGTGATTAAATTGGGTCCTCAGGAAGGGTGAGTTCATGGTCTAAATCTGGACTCGATTTACTTAAATTTAGTTTTGTATTTAATTTGGCTAAAATCCCAATGTGAGATTTCTAACACAATGGGATGTACCGTTCTGCCAGAGATTTGTAAGGACCCCTCGTCATTGTGGATTGCAGTCTGCCAGGCTCGGTTGCAGCGAGCAAAGCGAAGCCAGTGGAGTTGGAGCGGTACCTTTCCATTTTGCCAAACTGATACAGATTTAGCTGGGGGGTGCGTAGGGGGAGGTAGGGGGAGGTGGGGGGGGGAGGGTGGTGGGGGGTAGAGCATCGGAACAAGCCAGTGACATTGGTCCAAGGGCTCAAAAGCGGATGGCGAGTTGGCCGATTACTTTGTTTTTGCATCCAGGTCACAGCAGCTGATTCCCAGATTGCCAGGGTTAAACCCGGAGCAATGCGACTCCCAAGAGGGAGTTTACCAAGGGCTGAGGCCACGCGCTCAGTGCAGCAGCAACAGCAGCAGCATTATCACCGACTATTTATACTGTGACAGGGGGAGCCCTCCTGTGGCAGCTGTCCCTGTGCAGCACACGCTGAACGCAGCACTGGCCTGCAAGTGACAGAAAGAAGCAACTCTCACCTCTCATTCACTTTTCGGACCGGGATGTTCGGCGCGAACGTTTTCTGTGAAGGGAAAAGCAACGGAAGGGGGGAGGAGCCGTCAGAGTGGTTTTGTGGGACGCGACATCAAACCCAGCCGCCCTCCTAGACAACCTCCGCCGCCAAGAACCCGCAGAGTTATTTCCAGCGCCCAAAGGCGACGATCGATGCAAATCCAGGTCGCGCAGCCTCCGGGCTCGCACGCAAATCCCTGTGCGGTGCTGCTGCATGTATTTGAGGAACGTGAACCTCCCCGCATGAGCACGAATGTTTCGACAGCAACCTACACACAACGGGTGTGTGGGCAGGTGGGTGTTTGCATTCCAAAATCAATGTTTATCAACACAGGAAAAAAAATATAGATATCGTATCATAATTCAATTTGGTAATACATAAAAAAGGAGGCGGTAAATGAGAACAAAATTATGTTGGAATTTCTTAGACTGTTACGTAGCAAACCCGGAATTGCGAGACAGAGTTGTGGTGGTTTCCTGTTTGTTCGCTGTGGGGAGGCGGAGGCATTGGAAAATCACAACCCTGACCTCGTGCACAGCTCAGTGACCTCTGCCCTTCATTCGTGACCCGTTACACCATTCACGCGAGGCTGCCAGGGCTGGGAACACCAACATCATCAACCGCACGCAATGTGAGGCGGGGCTCTTGTTAAAGCCCTGCTGCGGATTAGAGCTGGGTTAGGGCTGGGACCTGTGGCCGGGTGGCTACTTGGTTCGGGTTAAGATTCGGTCTGGTGCGAGGAGTTGGTTGTATGAATTGGTTCAGAAAGATTAACAATAAGCTCCAGTAGCTTGTTGGTTCGGGTTTATGAGTATGCCTAGACATGGTGGCTGGTTAGGGTTAGAACTCGTGCGCTCCGCTCCCAAATCGCTTGCCACACAACACTCGTCCAGCACTTCTCAACCGCGATCGATCTCACCAAGGAGCGGACAGTGCCCAATAATGGCCGCACACGCATGCCACGTGGCAATTCGAGTCACGTGGCGCGGCGGCGCGTGTGAAGGAAGCCGCGTGGACCGGCCACCTTTTTCACGCCGCCCAGGGTGAGGTCTCGAGAGCGGATGGACGGGAGACGGCCCGGAGTTGGGGCACCCGCGATCGGGGGCCCCTTCCTGCCGGGCAGCAGCATGGGAGAGGCCGAGGGCGCGGGGGACTTTGCCCCGTCCCCAGCGCCCGAGCCCGTAGGCCCCGACATCGCTCCGCCGCTCTGGAGAGGCGGCTCCTATAGGGCACGGGGGCTCCCTCTGGTGGCAGACACGGATATTTGCTGTTAGTACCTTGGTCTCATTTTTCGATTTCAAGCTTTCGTGACTGCAGGGATTCATCTTCTTGGTTATTTCGGTAAAGTCACGTAGAATTGAAATAATAAAATAATAATGGTCTCATGGTTTATACACTCGATTTGCAATCCAGAGGTCGCCGTTTTGATCTCCCGGGGCGGCAGTTGAAACAATGAGCAAGCTATCTTCTTGGTTCTTTCGGTAAAGTCAGACTCTGTCGCCTCGACGGACCTGGTTTTCACCTGAGGACGGCTGCTTGCGTTGTGGCCGAAACGTCGTGAGAATAATTTTATTATGTTTTCTTTTTATTATTTTATTACTTCCCTTCTACGTGACTTTACCGAAAGAACCAAGAAGATGAATCCCTGCAGTCACGAAAGCTTTAAATCAAAATCTAATGAGCAAGCTAATTAAATCGTTCCGCATCGGGCCACCCAGCAGTATAAATGGACCCACCAGCGTGTCGCTCGGCAGGGCAAAGCGTGGGTGTGCACGGCTCTCTCGAGACGTCTGGCTGCGTGGAATCGGCCAGAACAGAAGGGCTCCACCAGCAGGGCCGCGCCTCTACCAACTGCGATCAGCACGGCTGGCTACTTACGGTGCGATCTAAATTCAACATCCTGTAGTTACTTACCTCTCTACCTTGATACATGTCGAGAACGTCGTCAATCCACTGCTGGAAACTATATTACCGGCAATAATGCTCGTTAAAAAAAAAGTGTATTTGAGTTGAACAAGGCCCCATCGCAAAGTGTGCTACACCTGCCAATTACCGGGGAGACCCAGATAAGTCGAAACCGGCCCAGCTTGATGTAGTAATACAAGAACAAACCTGCTGGAAAGCATCGGTTCAAACGGATATTTGTGTGAAGCAATGAATATAAATGTATTTTTAAATAGAGTACAGCCCTGTCGTCAATCCTGCACCGGGTGCCCCGCCACGCTGTGCGAGCAGCTGGCGAGGCCGGGCTGTCGCACACACGCTGGGACACACACACACGTGCAGTGCGAGCTGCGTGTTTCTGCGCTGCAAACATGCCGCTCGCAGCCTCGTCCCGCGGCCGACAGACACCGCCTTGTATGCGCGGCTGTCGCCTATCCAAGCACGAGCCAGGCTCGGTCCTGCTTAACCTATGGCCAATGGACTAAAAACATCAATCCCGCAATCGGCCCACACCGACAAGAACTGCCCCCATCTCTCTCACCCCGCTTTCACATTCCTGGGCGCGGCCGCCTCTCTCGACCGGCGAGAGTGTGGCGAACACGGCGGGCCAAGCAGACAACGCGGCAGGCTCCATCGCCGACTAGGCCCCGCATGTGTCTGAATGTTACGGCACAGCATCACGGAGGGGCGAATTTGAGTCCCGGGGTCTCCATGAGTGCCCCCTCCCCTCAAGTCTCCCGCCGTGAATGTGAGTCCCCTCCAAAAGGAGTGGGAAAGGTGGGGGGATTCCCATACCACAATCCCAGTTTCCCGGAGTCTCGGAGTCGCCTTTACCACGCGGCCCGCGTTCGGCGATCAAGAACATCGGCTCCGCCCTCTCTGATTGGTCGAGCGGCCCGGCGGTCTCAGCCAATCAAGTCGCGATGTGAATGGGGAAACCCCCAGAACGAAGATGACGACATCGGCGGAGTTCCCTTCGCGGCGCGGGCGCTGCGTGGAGATGATAAACGACCCCGCGGTGAGAACCGGTTATCTCTATTAAGAGAAAACCGGTTATCTCTATTAAGAGAAAACCGGTTATCTCTATTAAGAGAAAACCGGTTATCTCTATTAAGAGAAAACCGGTTATCTCTATTAAGAGAAAACCGGTTATCTCTATTAAGAGAAAACCGGTTATCTCTATTAAGAGAAAACCGGTTATCTCTATTAAGAGAAAACCGGTTATCTCTATTAAGAGAAAACCGGTTATCTCTATTAAGAGAAAACCGGTTATCTCTATTAAGAGAAAACCGGTTATCTCTATTAAGAGAAAACCGGTTATCTCTATTAAGGGAAAACCGGTTATCTCTATTAAGGGAAAACCGGTTATCTCTATTAAGAGAAAACCGGTTATCTCTATTAAGAGAAAACCGGTTATCTCTATTAAGAGAAAACCGGTTATCTCTATTAAGAGAAAACCGGTTATCTCTATTAAGAGAAAACCGGTTATCTCTATTAAGAGAAAACCGGTTATCTCTATTAAGAGAAAACCGGTTATCTCTATTAAGAGAAAACCGGTTATCTCTATTAAGAGAAACCCGGTTATCTCTATTAAGAGAAAACCGGTTATCTCTATTAAGAGAAAACCGGTTATCTCTATTGAAAGAAAACCGGTTATCTATATCGGGAACCGGTTATCTCTATTGAGAGAAAACCGGTTATCTTTATTGAGAGAGAACCGGTTATCTCTATTGAGAGAGATAACCGGTTATCTTTAGTGAGAACTGCAGAAGGAATCTGATGAGCTATGAAGCTATTTTTCACAGATGTCCAGTCGGGGCTGGTCAGCAAGTTGCAGCAACAAACAGCACAACAACACGATATGTGTGCAAAGTAGAGTGAAGGTCAGCCAGTCACTACAAATACATAAGCACAAACGCTGTAGTTTGACTTTGGAATGGCCGGTGTGATTTAATATATCAGCCATCGCGACAGATGGTGGTGATTTGGGGAGACCTATTCAGTAATGGATATAATCTGACTGATGATTTTATTCTCTTACTTTTGCTTTTAGAATGTGTGTATATTGAACTTCTTTCGCACCGTACGTAACCAACCATGCTAATCGGAGGTGCGAGAGAAGAATCATAAGTCAGACATTTGCTGGCAGACAACATCGAAGCATTCCACAGATTGAAACAAATAAACTTAATAAGAACAATTATGCTGTAAACTTACATTCACGCCTAAACTTGAGTGATTTTAAACGAATCAGTTTAAATGACGACAGAGGTGGCACAATGGAGATGCAGGTTCATTGATGTGTTAAGAAGGGCTATTGCCCGAAACGTCACCGATTATATGTTTCTTTAAAGCAGTGTTGTTGACGAGTGTGCTGATTATATATATAATTAACGGGGCATAACAAATCTTGACTTAAAGCTTTCGTGACTTCAAAGAGTATGGAGCATAACAACTGAAGGTTATTTGAGCTTTCAGTTGTGTTTTTAGTTCCTGAAGTAGCTCGCAGCACGTGAAGCGAAACGTCGAACACAATGCCGAACAATATTGTGTACAACCAGGAAGCGCACTCGAGACAGCCCCACCGAGACGCGCTTCGCTCGAGGTTCTATTTTTATGAAGCTCAGCTCCTAGCAACCACCGTGGCTCAACACAGCAACGCGTTGAGCGGGTCTCACACAAACAAAATCAACACACTCACAAACAACACTGTTGCCTTAAAGGGGAAAAACCATGTATAACAGGCGACGGTTCAGGCAATGGTCTTTCATTTCAAATGAATAGAGAGGCCGGAGTGATAGAACGGGTAATGCGAGGTGGCGCATGCCACCTCGGGGCATGATGGGAATTAAATTACATTTGGTGACACGTGTACAGCAGTACCCACTGGATAACCAAAGCCTTCAATAGTAATCAACAAAGCATTGGAATATCGATTCCTGCGGATCTCCCACTGTTCGATTCCAGTGCCGTTCCCCAGCGGCGGAAGAGACGCGACGCAGGTCAACGTGGAACGTTGGGGCCGACGTTGGCTCAACGTTGGACCAACGTTGGTCCAATGGTTTCGGCCACGTGCCAACGTCTTCCGACCTTGGCGCGTGCCGCTGGGCAGGCGGCCACGCCACCGCACTGCGGGGCGACGGCGCCTCGTCACGCCGCGCGTCGGGCGCCGGTAGCGACACGCCCGCGACAATGCAGGGCGCATTCATTGGGGAGGACATTCGGACACAGTGGCGCCATCGTCGACGTCAGAATACCCTGAACAAAAACATGTTGCAGCAGCGGACGGAGACACGCCCGTTACACCCGCCACATCACCCACTGGACGTCCGTGAAAAAAGCGATTCATAGCTCATCAGATTCCTCCTCCCTTCTAAATAAAGACAACAGATTCTGAAATCAAATCCAGCGTGTGCGGTGCACTCAAGATGTGCTAAGAGGCAGCGGAGGGGTCGTCTACAAGGGGAGAGAGATCACCGCAGGGCCGACCAGTGGCAGAACCGTTCCGGGTTGGGCAAGGCGAGCAGAACCATCGTCTTTATTGAGACTGCAGGACGAATCCGATGAACTTTAAAGCTCTTTTTCACAGATGTCCCTGACCCTGCGGCCCTCCCCCCACCCACTTTGTGCCCACTGCCCCCCTCCCCCCACCCACTTTGTGCCCACTGACCCCCTCCCCCCACCCACTTTGTGCCCACTGACCCCCTCCCCCCACCCACTTTGTGCCCATTGCCCCCCTCCCCCCACCCACTTTGTGCCCACTGCCCCCCTCCCCCCACCCACTTTGTGCCCACTGCCCCCCTCCCCCCACCCACTTTGTGCCCACTGACCCCCTCCCCCCACCCACTTTGTGCCCATTGCCCCCCTCCCCCCACCCACGTTGTGCCCACTGCCCCCCTCCCCCCACCCACTTTGTGCCCACTGCCCCCCTCCCCCCACCCACTTTGTGCCCACTGCCCCCCTCCCCCCACCCACTTTGTGCCCACTGCCCCCCTCCCCCCACCCACTTTGTGCCCACTGCCCCCCTCCCCCCACCCACTTTGTGCCCACTGCCCCCCTCCCCCCACCCACTTTGTGCCCACTGCCCCCCTCCCCCCACCCACTTTGTGCCCACTGCCCCCCTCCCCCCACCCACTTTGTGCCCACTGCCCCCCTCCCCCCACCCACTTTGTGCCCACTGACCCCCTCCCCCCACCCACTTTGTGCCCACTGCCCCCCTCCCCCCACCCACTTTGTGCCCACTGCCCCCCTCCCCCCACCCACTTTGTGCCCACTGCCCCCCTCCCCCCACCCACTTTGTGCCCACTGCCCCCCCCTCCCCCCCACCCACTTTGTGCCCACTGACCCCCTCCCCCCACCCACATTACGCTCACTCCCCCCTCCCCACCGAGGCGCTCACTGCGCATGCCCAGCACCGCGGTTACATTTCCCACTCGGCATTAGCAAGCGTTGGGGGGGCGTGGCCCGCTCCGCTCCGCGTCACTGGCGAGGCGCGCGGCGGCTCTGGCCAATGGGGTGCCGGGGAGGGGCGCGTCCGCTGTGGGAATTGTGAGAGCGGGAGGCGGCGTGGCAGCAGTCGCGCTCCACGTGTGTCTGGACCCAGCGCCCGCAGCCTCCAGCCAGCGAGTCCCACATCGCTCGGCCTCTCTCTCTCGGTCTCGGTCTCTCTCTCGGTCTCTGTCTCTCTCTCGGTCTCTGTCTCTCTGTCTCGGAGCGCTACCCAAGGCCGCCGCCATGTACAGCGTGGAGGAGCGGGGCAACCCCAACAGCCTGGCGTACCGCCTCTACTACAGTGAGTGCGAGCCGGCTCTGGCTCCCACACCAACGCTTCCCTCCCAGAGCCCCCCACTCTCCCCGACTTCTCCTGCCTTACTCCACGTCGCTCCGAGTCTCTGACTCCCTGGCTCCCCTGAATATCCAAATCCCTCTTCGAGTCCCAGAGGCATACCCCCCCCCCCCCCACTTCTCGCTTCCTGAGTGACCGACCTTCTTGAGTCCCTGCAGGACTCCCTTCTCGACTCCCTTCTCGACTCTCTTCTCGAGCCCCCCGCATCCCCAAGCCCCCACCCTGGCTCCCTGCTCGAGTCCTCGAATCCCAGAGTCCTTCCTGCCTGAGTCGCTGACCCTCTGAGTGCCTGAGTCCGTGACTCATTCCCCGACTAATCTTAATTTTAGAACTTTCGTGACTGCAGGAATTATTATTTGGTTCTTTCGGTTAAGTCACGTCTAAAGATAAAATAATAAATTAAATTAAATAATAGCATACGACGTTTGTGTTGCAATCGAAACGTCGTATGCTATTATTTAATTTAATTTATTATTTTATCTTTAGACGTGACTTAACCGAAAGAACCAAATAATCATTCCCCGACTCCCACCATTGCATATTGTATTGATTGAAGCGCCCATTTGAGTGGCGTGTGCGTCGGTGTGCGAGTCTGAGTTCGAGGTGTGTGTGCTGTGTACATATGAGTGAATGTGCTTGTCGGTGTACCTGTGCTTGAAGAAGTTTGCCCGTCTGTCATGTTAGATGCACAGCTAAGCGAACTCGCGGACCATGGCTCACTGATGACCTCTAATTAACGCGAGTACCAATATAACACTCGGGGCTGTCCTTGGCACTCTGTCTGCGCATGACTCGCTGATGAGCCCATAAATAAACGAGACCCCACGTGACACACTCGTTTTCCTTTTTGGCAGTTTCATATCTGGCTCATGGCTTGCTGATGACTCCCTATGACGGTGAAACCTGTTTCTTCCATGCTGTATACGTGCTTGAATATTTGTGGGCTCCTAAAATAAATTTCTATAACGTTTAAAAAACGTCGTACCCCTTGTGTATAAACTTTATTTAAACGATTGTGCAATTGTGTGGACAGCTACTCTGGGATAAAAATAGTCCTGCAATCCAATGATTTATTTCCCCTTCAGGCAAAAATGTTTCAACTTTTCTCATTACTTAAAAATGTTGCCACGTTAGTGAAAAATCTTTGAGGAATAATAATCCCTGCCATAATTGATATTTCAAATCGTCCCCGCTTGTGGAGTGTGTGTTGAGGAGTGGCAGTGGAGGCAGCCGTCAGCGCACTGCGCTACGAACCCCGGCTCAAGACTAATAACAGCGACGAATCTTTGATCCGGTCCTGGGGCTCCCCTAGGTCGACTCGGCCTCAAATGAGTGCCTGGTGCGGTGTGTATCAACATCGCCAGTGGCAGGACAAAGGGGGCCAGGAGTGCTGCAGGCCACCCACCCCCTTGTGTACCACGCCAGCATTTGTCAGTGCTCTGTGACAGCACTTGCCTCAACAGTCTGTTAAAGGCTATACAGGGGACATTTGCCTTTGGTGGGGAGTGGTGGCGCAGTGATTAAACGCACACTGCCCTATGAACCCGGCAGCAGCCCGAACTAATTTCCCGGGCCAGTGATAACTGAACCCTCGGTAAAGCACAGCCTCATACATTCTGTTCGTGTTTATGGCAATTACGATCAGGAGTTCATTTTCCAACGTCGATGTCTGTCGGCCACGAGGAGAGAGGGCTTCAGGAGAGAGTTCGTGTCGAGTTGCTGTTCCTCCTCCTCCCCTGTAGTCTGCGCTTCTTCAACAGTGGTTTGTTCTACGGTCCATAGTGTGGGTCGCATGGCCAGTCGCCGCACTGCTGCGGCTTGTCTTTAATGCATCTCTATGGGTCTCTATGTGTCTCTATGGGTCTCACGTGTGCTGTGCCGCCAGTAATAGCTGCTCGCTACGAGCACGTGGCCCAACAGCCTGTGTAAGCCACGTGGGAGGAACTCCGTCGGTGTGTGTGGAGTGATAGCGTTGTGGTTAATGGCTTGCACACTGCATTACCAAACCCAGCGACCTGAGTTCATTTCCCGTCAACGGCTAACAAAAGTGCTCGGAACGACATCTGAATCGGATCGGGGCCTTCCCCTAGGTCGACTCGGCCGTAAGATGAACAGAGTACATCATTTCCGATGGGTGTCAACAAAATTGTTATTTGACACGGGTGTCTGTCATAATGTGAAATGCAGGGTGGTATTTTCTCCCCGTGTGACCGTTTCAGAAACGCAGACATCCCTCGAGGGTTGAGTCGTTGTTCCAGACTGTCCCCGTAATTCTCACGAGGTCCCGTGCCCCATCGTCGCGCAGGTTTGGAAATTCCGGCCTCAATAAAGAGGCATTTTCAATGATTGCGCAACGCCTGCTGTGTGACATGTGGATCAATTGGGAGTAGAAGCCGAGCCGACTCTGTGCATGTGGTACCGGCTGGGGGAGGTGGAGCAGAGAGCGCCAGTGAGAGGAGGAGGAGGACCTTGAACTTAGATATGGTGGCAACCAGATAAAGCTGACCCACGCAACTAGACCTTTGGAATCCACACTCGGTGATCGATATGTAAGCGTAGAAGATGCAGGGATTATTGCCAGCACAGTGGTACATGAGTGAGTTTGTACTCATTTGAGGTTGAGTAGGTGGGTACTGAGTTGAGGTTAAGTCTACCTACAGAAGGCCTCGGACCAGTTCAGATAGTCGCCACTCGAGTCTGTGGATTCGAATTCGGGTCGCAGGGTTGGTAGTGCAGCGTAGCGCTAACCGCTAGCACTACCGCTCCGCACACTCACACTGCCTCACTCGCACTGCTGTTTCCCCTCTGTGGAGTCGCTGTAGAATAGGAATGGGAACCATTCTGGAGAATGCCGGTATGCACACGTTTAGCGTCGCGAGAGGGGCCGGTATAGCGTGCCGTCCTGTACCGGCCCAGACTCGTCAACACAAGTCATTCAGGAAAATCAAATCATTTCAACCGAGCCTAAACCGACAGGCTGAGTGCGGCTTGGACACGCGTTGTGAAGGTATCACACCGCAACTTCCCTAGAAAAGTGTTGTGTTAATCTAAACTAGTTGCTGTATTATTATAGCATGATTAACTATTTACGAAAATTAAGTTAATTATGACAAACCTATATCACCCTGTAAGTATATGCATTTCACAATAATGTAGTTATTGGAAAATGCATTGTAAGCCAAAATAAAATGCGACAATTTATGCACATGCATTAATCTCCAGGCCTCACCCATTGCCACTTGTGGCTCGCCTGTGGGTACACACTGATGATGTAACGCCACCCAGTTATGGCCAAAGGTGGGCAGGAGATTCTTTGTAATTCTGCCAATTGTCTGATGAAGCTGACTCACCGCCAGTGAATTGCCAGGCTTCCCAGTCGTCACACAGGTTGTGTGTGGGTCGCTCATACAACACTCCGGTGGTGCTGCTGACGCAGTACAGATGGTCAGTGACCTATTAAACAAATAAAACCACCTGAGTACATGTATTTATATCATGTATATATATAACATGGTAAACAGGATGAAACCTCGCTTTGCTTCCGTGAGATCCGGATCCTGGGCATGAAGCGGCTAGGTGAATGATTGATTCAGTTTATTTTGGCACAGGAAAAACTCAGTGGGCAATAAATGGCAACTTTCGATGTGGACCGGGTTACACAATGCATGTGGTGGCCGTGAGATGTTGTCATCTCACTCGTCTGGTAGGCAGGAGGTCGCGGGTTTGATCCTGGAACCTGACGATGCCTGTTGTATATTTGGAGTCTTTTATTTCTCGCTTTGTGTGGTGATCGTGTGGATTCTTCTTTTTTAATGCGCCACACCGGCCATAATAGGTGCTTGCTAACAGCACATGCTGTAGCAGCCTGTGTAGGCTACACGGGGGTATTTTTTGTCTTTGTGTTCACACCATAGTGGAATGATATTGGGACAGTGGGAGCGCAGTTGGTACATCTGCGAGGCATCTCAGTCGGTTAACCCATAACACCTGGGTCTGGCCCGTGACTCCCTGCCAGCGAGTATTTCTGCACTCTACGTAGGCCTCAAATTGCACATAGCCTGGCACAAGCGTCGTGGTGATGTGACTGTCACGTCGTGATGATTGTCGACTGTTGTTTTGCCCAGCGGTTGGTGTTGTTTGTTGTTTACTTGTTGCCGAAGCTACTGACGTCATGAATGTCCTCCATTCTCTGGGTGTGACCCAGTCGGCTGGAATGTGCCCGGTCCTGTCAAATCTCAGCGGCTGAGTCAGGGTTGAGCCTGGATATCGCCTGGATGGGCAACCGTCACAACTGTGCCACAAATGTGACGCTATGCATATCAAAATATTATTACGCATTCAAGTTTTGCGTTTATTTTGCTTCAATGAAGTGGGCACTTGAGACCAGGATAGGAATGTAATTCTCCAAAAGTGACCTGGATCACCATATTGTGACGAAAGCAAAAACAAATAAAATCACAACAAAGTTGCGCCCACGACGCAAAGAGACATCGGCGCAAAAACAGCCGCGGCGCCGCTTCGGTCAAATCGAAAAATATTTCACCGACGTGAATCGTTGTCGCTTCGCGCATTCCCTGGAGTGCGAGGCGGCTCGGTATTGAAATGCAAGTGGCCACGTCAGCCCAGGAACTCGCTGCCCCAGGCTGCGGCGTCTCTGAGACGGAGAGACAGAGAGAGAAGGAAGGAGTGGGGGGGGATGCTGCCAGCGGAAAGGTTAAATATTTCACGACGCCGTCGCTATTCATGGAACGAGACGGAGCGGTGCGCGGGCTCCACTTTATTGAGGATGCAAACCGGTCTGGTTGCCTGGAGACCGTGGTCATGAATGTTACCTTCTCGCAGTCACAATCGTGCGGGTTCGACTCCTGGCCAGGGTTGGGTACAGGTCAAGCTGGCCCTCCTATCCCAGTTCTTTCTTTATCTCTCTCGCAGTGGTTGATAAAAGAATAGATACTGCTTTGTCAGCATTCAACCGTGGTATGGACTTGCCCCCGTCATGAAAACGTTGAATTTCCACCACTAACCCATGACTGTAAGCAGGGAATGTGAACTGCACCCCCCACCCCCCCACATTTGTCCACTTTGACCCCTCCCTCCCCTCCCATCATGGCCCCGTGTGAACCCCCAGGGTTGATTGTGAAATGGCGTGCGTGCGTGTTTGTGTGCCGTGTGGTTTATGGCCGTGCGTGCGTGATTATGGCTGGGCTGTGTTTGTGCAGCGGGCGCAGCGTCGCCCCTCATTGTGGTTGCCGGCGCTTGAGCTGTACCTTGCTCGGCGCAACCCACGACCCGCCTGGAGGGGGGGAGGGAGTGGGGCGTGGCGGTGGGGGGGAGGGGACCTGGGAGGGGTGGGAGCAGGGGGGCAGGCGGCGGGCAGGGGTTTCGCTATTGAGTACGCAGGCTGTGCAGCTGCCCCGGGCCCCCGTGGGATGGATGGGCCCCCCCCCGCCCCCACCCCTGTCCAGCATCGTGAGATGCGGTCGGAGCTTTGACGTCCGGTCAAGCGAAATGGTTCTCGTCAAATTGGGCCCTTGATTCGTTGTCGTCGCCGTCGGCCGTGAGCACTCCGCTGTTGGATGAAGGCCTGCGAGCCCTCGCCGCCTCTCACACGAGCAGCTTTCATTGCTCCACCTCCTGTGTGGACGCACTCCCGCGGACGCGTTTGGTGACGTGGCTGCTGCCATCTCTCCCAGTGACGAATGCCGCCAAAGCTGCTCGCTCACTTTTCGTAACAGCCTGGGTGACGTCAGTAACCTGTGTCACATGAGCAGATCGCCAGGAACTGCTGATGGTTTTTGCATAATACACAAAGGCTGAGTGTTATTTTACACTTGTGCATGTGTGTTTGAAATGTGTAGTTTTTCTGGCCTCTACTTTCATTCTGTTATGATGATGGGTTTTCTCGTCGCTTACAGATTTTAATTCCGGTTGGCATTAGCCAAGCGAATGGTGCCCACTGTGGAAGTGGACACTCCACCTGTACCGTTCCCAGAGGCAGGCGCTGCAGCGGTGAGCAGCGGCGAGCGTACTGTTGCTGATGAGACCCAACGGTGACAAAAAACGGCCCACCACAGTTTGTCAATTACTGCCGCTGGTCGGTAAAATCCACGACAAGAGGCCCATGATGCGGTTCCTCGGGAACGGCTGCTGCTGCTGGTTTTTGCGTGATGCCCAAATGGCTGTGTGTCTTCTACACGTTTCTGCGGGGTTTGAAACTTCTGGGTTTTCTTTGGGCCCGCACGATCATCCTCCTATGATGATGTGGGTGTTTTACCTGTCTCCTCTAAGCCATTAGTTCCTCATTCTGTACCTCTGAGTTATTCAAAGCATCCAACTCGTGGGGCGTGTGGGGGTGTAATTAGTCCCCACGAATCGATTAGAAAAATCGATTACTTTTTGTCGTCGTTGTTGGAACGTAGCGACCTCTAGCGCGCGTTAACTCCCGCGTGGGCGATCGGAATCGACATTGATTTGTGGATCGATGATGCACCACCATCATCATCATCACACGTGCTGCTGATAGACAAGCAGTGGTGTGCGATTACAGGGCAGGAGGGGATGGGGAAGTCTGCGCTGGGGAGGGGGGCAAATGGGCAGGGGGGGGGGCAAAGCTGTTGATCGTGGCATGGCCATGAACCCAGGGTCAATGTGCGGGCGAGATTAGGTGGCTGCTATACTTGGTGGATGGTGTCAGGAGGTGAATGGTTGGGGTGATGTTATGAGATGATAAAGGTGTAGGTGCTGGTATTGGTGGTGGTGGTAGAGATGGGGTTGGTGGTGGTGCTGGTAGTGATGGTGATGTGGGTGGTCTGCATGCAGCAGCAGTAGCAGCTGATGTCACGGCCTGTGTGTGTGTGTGCACAAGCCGTGCAGGGCGTTGTGGCGCCGCTCGGATTCACGCCGGCGCTTCTTGAAGTGACCGCCTGGCCCAATGTCTCGGCAGGGGGGGGTTAGAACGTTGACCCGCGCGCACGCACGCACACCCCCGTGTACGTGCGGAGTTCAACGTACCTATGACGTACGCAGGTGGGGGTGGGGTGAGAGAGAGTGCCCATCCCCTTACCTTGAGACCACAGAAAATGTATATATTTATATTTACCGGATAAAATGCAACAAATGTTTTCTTTCTCAATATAGGGACCTCTATTTAAACATCTCTGTGTATGTGTGTATCTATTGCGCGTATCTCTGTGGGAGCGGTGCACAGCGGTTAACGTGCTGCGCTACAATCCCGGCGACCCGGGTTCGATTCCCGCTCGTGGCCCACATCACCGGTCATTATCTGAACCGACCCTAGGTCGACTCAGCCTCAAATGAGTACCTTGTGCGGTGTGTAAACATCGCCGCTAGTGAGACAAAGGCAGCCGCGCGTGGTGCTGGCCACCTCGTGTGCCTCGCCGGCCTTCGTAGGTGCTACTCGGGAACAGCACTTGCCCCAACAGTCTGTTAAAGGCTATACATGGGTGGGGGGTATCTTTGTCTTTGTGTGTGCGTGTGCAGAGGATGCGCAGGGGCAGTACATCTCTCCCTTCCACGACATCCCCCTGTGTGCCAGCGAGGAGCCGGTGAGTCGCCACGAGGAGGAGTCTTACCTCAGGAGTACGTGTCCGTGTGTGTCCGTGCGTGTCCGTGCGTGTCTGTGTGTCCGTGCGTGTCCGTGTGTGTCCGTGCGTGTCCGTGCGTGTCCGTGCGTGTCTGTGCGTGTCCGTGCGTGTCCGTGCGTGTCCGTGCGTGTCCGTGCGTGTCCGTGCGTGTCCGTGCGTGTCCGTGCGTGTCCGTGCGTGTCCGTGCATGTCCGTGCATGTCTGTATGTCCGTGCGTCTGTACGTGCGGGGGGAGCGGTGGCGCAGCAGTTGGCGCAGTGCGTTCACAAATCCCGGCGAGCCGAGTTCAATTTCCCGATGTCGCATGATTGAATAGCCGAACAAGCCCGTGGTTTATAATCATTTATAATCGACGCAGCACGATGGGCGAACGTTACAAACGAGGAGGGAATTGAATCGACCCCGACCCCCATCCACCCCCCCCACCACCCCCCCACCACCCCTAGCCCCTCTGGGGATTGGGGGGGGGGGCTGTCACGAGGACTCGATGAACCTCCTTGGGGAAAGGGGGAATCGTTTAACTGGTGACAAAAAACACAACGTGCGTGCATCTGTGCATGCGAGTGAGTGCGTGCGTGTGAGGGCGTGCGTCTGCTTGCATGTGCCTCTACATATGTGTACATGCGTGCGTGTACACGCGGGTGCAAGCGCTTGTGAGCGTGCGTGTGCGTGCGCGTGCGTGCGTGTGCGTGCGTGGGTGCGTGCGCCTGCTGGAAATTGCACCACGGCCAATCCCCACTCTGTGTAATTGCCTGGCTGATCCCACAGCCCAGCCGCTCGCAGCATTTTCTCGTAAAGCGATTTTCCACCGCCTTGATTTTCCAAATCTCTTCCCAGCGCTCGCCCCACCCCCACCCCAAAACCACGGTCACCCCCCACCCCCGCCGTGCTGCCTTGCTCCCCCCCCTGCTCCCCCATGCTGCCCCATGTCCCTCCTACCCCCGCCTCTCCTGTCCCCTGTCCCTACTTTCTACCTTGCTGACCCGCTTGCCGAGCCAACGCTGCCCCCCCCATCCCGCTCTACCATTGTTCGCGGGACCCCCACGGCGGGTGTTCAAACGACATGCGTGTGCATGTGTGCATGTATGTGCGCGTGTGCGTGTGTGCATGTGTGCGTGTGCCCACGTGTGTGTGTGTGCGTGTGTGCGTGTGCCCACATGCGTGTGTGCTGTGGGGGGTGGTAGTGTAGGTGGTTAGTGCACTGCACTATGAACCCGGCGACCCAAGTTCAATTCCCGCTAGCGGCCAACACCAGTGACAATTATCTGGATCGGTCCTGGGCCTCCCCTCAGTCGACTGGCCTTAAACAAGTTCCTGGTGCGATGTGTAAATGTCGCCACTGGGGAGACAAAGGCGGCCGAGCGTGGTGCTGGTCACCCACCCCCATCGTGGCCATTTGTAGCCTGAACACACTTGCCCCAACAGTCTGTTCAGGCTATATGGGGAATATTTGTCTTTGTGTGTACTGGTGGGGTCATGCATGGGTGTTGCGTGAGCGACAGCGTTGGATTTTGTGGATTTCAGAGCCGGGTTCTGTGAGCTTAGAGCTGTGTGCGCCGAGCGGTGGAGGATGGTGGGGTTCATTCGCCGTGTGTGTGATGGTGTGTGATGGTGTGTGATGGAGTGTGTATGATAGTGTGTGATGGTTTGTAGGTGATGGTGTATCGGGAGCAATAGCGTAATGAGTAGTGCACTGCGCTATGAGCCAACCCAGTGACCCAAGTTCAATTCCCGCTCACGACCAATAATAGCGGCGAATATTTTAACCGGTTCTGGGCCTCTTCTAGGTCGACTCGGCCTCAAATGAGTACCTGTTGCAGTGTGTAGACATCACCACTAGGGAGACAAAGGTGGCCGGACGTGGCGCTGGATACCCACCCCCTCGTGTGCAGTGGCGGCCTTCATCGGCGCTTGCTTACAGCACTTGCCCCAACAGTCTTATGAGGCCATACGGGTGGGGGGGATCTTTGTCTTTTGTATAGGGTGGGAGTGAGGGTCTTGCATAAGGGGCGAACGATAATGACACGTTGAGAGAGTGAGCTCTCCTGCCCACACGCCTCGCGCACAAACCTGGCAACCTGGGTTTGATTCCCAGTGAGCGATATCGCAACTTGTCCTGGACCTCCCCTAGGTCAACTCGACCTCAAAGGAGCACCTTTTGCAGTGTGTAACCAATGGTGTGACTCAACACACATCATCATCATCATCGTCATCGAGAGGTGCGCGCCCTGCTGGCAAGATACAAACTTTGGCTGGGCCCCCCTAAGAAGAGAGATACTCGACGAGGCTTTCCTGGGTAGTCGGGGGTCGTAGTCATGGTGGCGAAATCTGCGCTGACTAACAGCGCTCATCCCAGCAGCGAGTGCGGATAGACAAGGAGTCTTTGTCCGAGCGAGCGAGTGAGTGCGAGTTCAGCCCGAACGGCCCCGTGTGTGTTTAGTGAGCGGAGAGGTCCTGACATCACAGTGACACAGCCTTCGCTTCGCCGCCAGGGAGGGGCTTGTCCTGTGGGTGGGCCCGGCCATAGCAATGGGGAATTATTTTAAGCGCCGGTTCAGGACTGCCAATGGAAATGAGCGTCGTCCAGCTTCTGACTCGGGGTGGGAGCGTGGGGGGGGGGGGCACGATGTCGCTCGTCATGTTGGTCCATTGTGAACGAAACTCGAGGATAAAAGTTGCGCCGCTGCTATTCGGAACTCGCCCAACCGAAAACCGGCCACTTTGAACCGAGCGTTGCCAACCACTTGGAGACACAGAGCAGCTGGGTGGCAGTGGCGGTGGCGGTGGTGGCGGCGGCGGAGACTACACTACACGTGGCTGTTTGTAAGCCAGCACAGTGGAGGCAGCAGCAAGGGTTGGTGGATCACCGCACGAATCTTGTTGCAACTTCCGTGGGCAGAGAGGAGGAGCCATACCCTGACTTGCCAGGAGAAGGCGGCACAGCAGAGCGCGCTCTCCACCTCTTCCATCTGGATGGGATCGAGTATTGCCCAGGAGCACACGTGGGTGTTCTCAGGTGCTCCAATTTCCTCCCACATTTAAACGCTCATCAGTTGTCCCTCTACCAGCTTGATAAATAGAGGACTGCAGACCGTGGAGAGGGGACTTTGGCGCCGGTTCTCTGTCGCGCGCGGGGCTCTGTCGCGCGCGGGGCTGCTGCCTCCCCGCTCCTCCGTGGTTGCTCTTCTGGGCGCCTCCGGGTCAACCTCTCGGATCCTGTACGGTGCATTGCAAGTTGAAATGATTCGTACCGCTCGTTTAAATACCTGCGCACCTCGCGTCGCTTGATCCGTGCACACGCTCCGAACCCTCCACCACCCAACTCGGCCAAGCAATCGAATCGACCCAGACGCAACTCTCATCGTCCCAGTTGTTGTCCTTGCTGTCTCTCATGCCGCACGTTCGGCAGCACTCTACGCGCGATGATTTGCTTATCCATCCAGGAGAACCACTCTTGAGTCGTAGGACTGGTTTACAGGAGGGGGCTGCCGCTACGTTGGATTTTTATTTCAAGACGTTCGCAGGCAATGAATGATGAGTTTGTGTTCATCGTACACGTGGGAGGAGGAGACCGGAGCACCGGGAGAAAAACAGATGGCGCGTCTTGTACTCGCTGTACCGCCCTCTCCTGGCGAACCCGGGTACTGCTCCTCGACTGTCACGGGAAGGCAGTTGTGCAGTGATCCACCAAGCCTCGCTGCTGCTCCTGCTGCCTCCACAGCGGTGGGTCGGGGTCGGCCCACGACCCGCGGCCCTCGCCTGGGTGGCCCAACGGCCGCCCAGGCCTCCGAGTTGCCCCGCTGTGACGCAGCGGGGGCTGGCGACGAGCTCATCGCAAACTCTGGCACGGAAGGGCTCGTGGCTGGAGCGGAGAATCCTTGGGGAGCCACCCCCCCCCCCCCCCCCCCATAAACGATGCTCGTAGGAGGAGGGGGGGGGAGACACCGGGCGATTTGATCCCGGTCCCAAGCCTCCCGGCGTCCCCCTGTTCCACAACTCGGCCGTTACCAGCGGCAACCGGTGGAGCTGGAAGAGGTTTTGAAGGGGGGACCGTGGAGGGGTGGTGGGGGGGGGGGGAGATGGGTGTGATGAAGCCCCCTCCCCCGCCCCCTGTAGTGCGAGTGCTGATTAAATCCGGTGCCCCCCAACTCCCCACCCCCCTCCTGCTCGTCCTCCGTCGTGTTTCGCGCTCTTCTCTGCTGACGCGGCGCGCACTCAGAGCGCCCCTCGTCTCCGTGCAGCGCCGGAGCGGGCGGCCGCCACGGCAGCCGCCACGGCAGCCGTGGCGGCAGCGTCGTCGGCGCTATAAATAACCAGCGAAGCATGCGGCAGCGGCGGCACCGTGCGGGCACGCGTCTCCCTGTGCCCGCGTCTCCCTGTGCCCGCGTCTCTGTGCGTGTGTATGTGTGTGCATGCGTGTCTCTCCGTGCGTGCGTGTCTCCGGAAGGGGAGCGGTAGAGTCGTCGTTATATCGTACTGCACGACGAACCCGCCAAGCCGAGTTCGATTCCTGCTCACGGCCAACACCAGTGACAATTTTTTTAACCAGTCCTGGGCCTCCCCTAGGTAGACTCAGTCTTAAACGAGTACACCTGGTGTCGGTGTACAAGCATCGTCACTGGGGAGACAAAGCTTTCATCTGCGCTCGCTAACAGCACTTGCCCCAACAGTCTGTTGAAGGCTATTCGGGGGATCTTTGCCTTTGTGTGTGATTGCTGCCCCCCCCCCCTCCCCCACCGTGTGCCTCGTTAATTCCGCGTGAGCTCGCTCGGCGCTCGCTCATTAGCGCTGCGCGGTGATCACCGCTTCCCACAGCGGCACTGCGTGTGGCTGTGTGCGTGTGGCTGTGTGTGTGGCTACAGGTGGTTGTGTGTGTGTGTGCATGCGTGTGGTTGTGTGCGTGTGGCTGTGTGTGTGGCTACAGGTGGTTGTGTGTGTGTGGATGTGTGCATGTGGCTGTGTGCGTGGCTACAGGTGGCTGTGTGCGTGGTTGTGTGTGCGTGGTTGTGAGCGTGGTTGTGTGTGCGTGGTTGTATGTGCGTGGTTGTGTGTGCGTGGTTGTGAGCGTGGTTGTGTGTGCGTGGTTGTGTGCGTGGTTGTGAGTGATCTGCGTGTGGGACCGGAGGGCCCCTGCCCGCCATGAAGACACCGATAGTTCGACCCCCCCCCCCCCATCGCTCCCCGCTCCCTATCAGTTATCTCCCCCCCCCTCACCCCATCCGCACAGCGTTCGTTGCGTGCACCTCTGATAACGAGCCCCTCCAGGGGGGCTGGGGCGGTGGGCGGGGCGTGAGCACTAACGAGCGCTCGGTGGGGGGGGGCTCTCCCTCCTCTGCCCCCCCCGGAGACTCGCTCAAAGAATCCCTCTCTGGGGGTCCGTGGTTGAGAACCCGCGGGGTCCAGTTTTCTCACCCCACCAGTCTTTAATTTTCCCATGGGCCCCCCTTGTTTATGACCCCATTAACCCCCCTGTCTCTGACCCCATGGGTCCCCTATATCTGACCCCATGCGTTGCGAATGCGTAAGTTAGTCGGCGTACGTATAGAGTTGTGTGTGTGTGTGTGTCCGTACGTGTGTTTTATACGTATGTAGACAATATTCGGAGCGGTGGGGGTAGTGCAGTGGCTAGCGCGCCGCGCTGCGAACCCGGCAACTCGCGGTCGAGGTCTGCCCTGTTCCGGGGCCTCCCCTAGGTCGACTCGACATTGAATGAGGACGGACCGAGCGCACGGGAAGTTTCGTCTGTTGTCCTTACCCCACACCTCCGATTTGCACGGTTGGCTACGAACGGTGCGAAAAAAGTTCAACATACGTACGTATCAGCACTGGGGAGACAAAGGCGGCCGGGCGCGGTGCCGGTGACCCAGCCCCTCCGCGCCGTCCTTGATGGGTGCTCCTCGCTTAGCAGCTCTTGCCCCAGCAGCCCGTGTCCCCGTCTGGGGGAGCTTTGTATTGTGTTGGGTCAGTAAGTTACACAACCCCCGATTGTTTTTGGCAGCCGGAACGCTCGTCGGACAGCCGTTACTGCTTTTTCAATTGCGTCTCAACTCCACCTCCCACCTCTGCTCCCCCATGCCAACCCCGTGCTCCCCCCGCCCCCTCGCCAGAAGCAGCCAGTGTTCAACATGGTGGTGGAGGTGCCTCGGTGGACCAACGCGAAGATGGAGGTGAGGGGCCGTGCGGTGACGCGGATGTCGCGGTGTGGTTACGTGGAGATGTTTTGGCTGTTGACAAAGTGGTTGTGATATGGTCGTTGAAGTGGTCGTGACTTGGCGGTTGTTGCCGTAGTGGCGGTGATGTGGTTGTGGTGGTGACGTGGTGTTGTTGCCGTAGTGGCGGTTGTTGGCGCGGCTCGGCCCGGCAGCACGCCCGCGTGCGTCTGCCTCTTATCTCGGCCACGTAAACAAAAACACGCGCGGTGCCAACAAGCGCGCGTCAGACGAGGCGCTCATCCTGCGGCGGAGGCGTCGTCGTCATTGTTTGCCTGCGTCAAACGCGGGGCGAACGTGCGGGACGCGGCGCCCGTCGCGATCGCCTCTCCACGACGTCGAGCGTGGAGCCGGCCCCCCGTTAACGTGGAGCCGGCCCCCCGTTAACGTGGAGCCGGCCCCCCATTAACGTGGAGCCGGCCCCCCGTTAACGTGGAGCCGGCCCCCCGTTAACACGGCCGGAGGGCGCGGTATGGCGGCGTCTCCCGTATTCTCGGAATTTTAAGGACGAGGATGTTGCCTGCGTGGAGGGCCCTTGCTTGAATGGCTCTCCAACTCAAACCACCTTACATCCCATATCTCTTCGCTACCCTTCCACTGCCCCGCTGCGGTCTGGGTGGGGGGTGGCGAGAGCCCCCCCAGTGGCAGCTGTCCCTGCGGTGTACGCGGCCAGCACGTGGGTTTTGGTCTGACTAGGGAGGCTGTGTCGCTCCGGGGGTTTTCCCAATTAAGTAACGCCCAAGCTTTTCATAATGCGTGATGAATTTGCCAAATTTGAAAATGACACTGCCAAACACTCAATTGGGATGCCACAATAGACGCACAGCAGCCAGCATCGCCCCCTACCGCTCCTGGCAGACTAACACCGGCTTGCGGGCCAGCGGTGCCGAGGCACCTTGTGCCCACAGGGGCGGCTGCCACTGGGCGTGCCCTTTGAAACGCGTTGTTGGCATGCGGCGATGGATGATGTGACACGTGTGGGGGTAGCTCTCGCGAGCGCGTCGTCGTCGTCGTCGTTGTCGCCGCGGTAACAGCTTCTGCCCCTTGCGTTGCGTCGCCGCTCCCCAGATCGCCACAAAGGACCCGCTGAACCCCATCAAGCAGGACGTGAAGAAGGGAAAGCTTCGCTTTGTCGCCAACGTCTTCCCTCATCACGGATACATCTGGAACTACGGCGCCCTCCCGCAGGTCAGGGTCGCTGCCAGGGGGTCACGGTCGGGGGTCACCGTCGGGGCATGTGGGCGGTGGCAGCTATCCGCTACACCAGCGAAGTTAGCTTCTGATTGGCTGTTGGGGTCAGAATCTGATTGGCTGCTGCGTTTAGGATCAATTGGCTGATGGGGTCAGGACCCGATTGGCTTTTGGGGTTAGGATCTGGTTGGCTGGTGCAGTTCGGGTTGGGTTTAAGGGTAGAATCTGGTAGAATCTGGAGATGTAAATATATGAAAGACAAACACCACCCACACGAGACAACAAGCAGCTCTGTAGCAGCCTCACGCCGAAGCTTTGTCTTTCTGGGCTGTCTCACTTGAGGTTTGAAGCGTTGTTAATTGTAAAATACTTTAAAGCCATGCTCAAGTGCACCTTTATATAACGCATTGCGGCATTTACATATCTCATGGGGGGGGAGGTGGGGGTGTGGGGTGAGGAGGGACATCACTTGCATTTGCATATTCATTTGTTCAGGAGTGATGGCACAGTGGTTACCTCACTGCGCTACGAACCCAGCGACCCGAGTTCGATTCCCGGCGACGGCCAACACCTAGTGGAGAGTAATATCTGAACCGTTCTGGACCCTCCCCTAAGTCCACTCGGCATGAAACGAGCATCTGGCACTGTCCATAATCGTCAGCGCCGTTCCGGACTTTGTAGGCGCTGTGCTAACAGCACTTGCCCCGGAAGGCTGTGAAAGCTACACGGGGGACCTTTGTCTTTGTCATCAGACGTGGGAAGACCCCAGCCACAAGGATGCGGACACCGGCTGCTGCGGAGACAACGACCCCATCGACGTGTGCGAGATCGGCTCCCGGGTACGGCACAAGTGTGTGCCAGTGTGTGTGTGCTGTACGTGTGCCAGTGTGTGTGTGCCGTGCATGCGTGCGCTACAGTGTGCGTGTTTGTGTGGTGCAAGCGTGTGCGTGCGTGTGTTGCGAGCGTGTGTGCGCGCTTTTGTCTTCCGCTTTTGTGTGCGCGTGTCTTCTGTGTGTGTGCGTGTGTGCGTGCATGCTCCAGCGTGTGTGCATGCTCCAGCGTGTGTGTGTTCCGTGTGTGTGTGCATGTGTGCGTGCATGCTCCAGCGTGTGTGTGTTCCGTGTGTGCGTGCAGGTGTGTGCGTGTGTGTGTGCGTGTGTGTGTGCATGTGTGCGTGCATGCTCCAGCGTGTGTGTGTTCCGTGTGTGCGTGCAGGTGTGCGCGCGTGGCGAGGTGGTGCAGGTGAAGGTGCTCGGCTGCCTGGCTCTGATCGACGAGGGGGAGACCGACTGGAAACTCATCGCCATCGACGTCAACGACCCCGACGCCGCCAGCCTGCACGGTGCGGCGAGAGTGGTGGTGGTGGTGGTGATGATGGTGATGATGGTGGTGATGGTGATGATGTGGTGTGGTG